TTCACCCAACCAACCAACTTACAGGAAGAGCCTACCAATGCCAGGCACACTTGTAGGCCAAGGAGACTTGGTGTGTAGGACACGGTGGGTGGCAGTCCCGGCTCCCATTCAGTGTGGTCGCCTGTGTCGGTAGGAAGTTCTCCTAACACACTAGCCACCCAGCCCCACGAGGGCCACCAGGGCCCATGCCAGCCACGGAGACACCATGCGCATGAGTCAGGTGGAGGGCAGGTGGACAGACCTCAGCCGCTACCAGTGGTGAGTGACAATCCCAGACGTGCAATGTGCCAAGAGGCGATGGTGGGGGGACGGGGAGGCATCCCCTGCGAGTCACAGAAAGCTCCCCGAAGGGAGTGAGGTGTGTGTGGGACGATGGGAGCGGCAGGGAGGAGGGCAGGGCAGCAGGAGGGCCAAGGTGCCCATGCTGGGAGGTGCACGCAGTGGTGCCTGGCGACAGACAGCAGGAGCAGAGGGGCCCAGACCCCCGCATGCTCTCCTCCCGAGGCGGGGCTGACCCCCGAGCCGCGGAGCACGTGGTCCTCCTGAGCTGGGGCAGCCATGGCTACGGGAAAGCAAGGCTGTGCTGAAAGCGGCATCACTTCCCTTTGGCTTCCCTCCTCCAGGCACCTCGGGTTCCCTGTGACAGCAGCTGGAGAGGCCACGGAGACCAGGAGCAGTGATGCCCTCAACTGCCAGCTCAGGTTTCAGGGGTGCGGCCCAGGCTGCAGATTTATGACCAAAATAACCTTTGTTGCATTAGGACAGTACATCTTGGAATGCTGGTATCCACCTGCAGCCCACAGAAGGGCTCTGGCTGGGCAGGGGACCTGCAGGAGTCAGCGAGCTGCTGAGTGGCTCTCCAGCTGCCATCAGGAGGCACAGTGGACAGCAAGGTTCCCAGACCCCGAGTGGGGTGGCAGAGCTCAGTCAGCTGCTGCAATTTCACTGAAACAGCAAATGCACTCGATGAATGGGATCTGGTGGTGACCTCCAGGCAGCGTCTGGCTCAGCTTGCCAGTGACTTGATAAAATGAGAAGAGGGAAGATGTGAAGAAGACATGGTTCAGTTGTCAAGTGAGATTTGGAGCAAATGTAAGAACCCTGCCTTGCTGGGTTCAAAAAAAAAGCCAGTATATCAACTATACTTCAATAAAAAAGTTTTAAAAGAACACAAAACAACAGGGGACTAAACTATAGCATATCAAAGGAAAAAACTTTGAAAAATAAAACAAAACTGGTTCTTTCCTAGCCTCTTCAAGACTGTTAAATAGAGAAAGGGCTTCAGAGCAAAGATCTGAAACATCACATCGTTTCCAGATCTCATAAAAATACCTAAGGGGTGCCGCAGAGAACCACTAGACAACAGGCCCACCAAGGACTTTAGGGGTGCACCCCACAGATGCACTCAATGAACAATAGTGCTTTTAGGTATTTTAAGGACATTTTTCACAGCAGTGTGCAGGAAGTCTTGGCAGAGGAGGGAGTTAGGTCAATGAAATTTGTGGGTGTAGCTCTTGTCTGATGGCATAAATCCCAGCAGATCCACAGAAAACCCACACAGCTTTTAAGATAATTATACAGGAAGAAACACGGCCAGCTGGGACTAAGCTGACAGATAAAAAAAAAAAAGGAAAACAGGAAACAGGCTGAGAAAACCACTCAGTTGCGAGCACCAGGCCTTCCTTATGGAAAAGGAAAGATGACTCAGAGCGCAGAGCCAGGAACCCCAAAGGCCAAGCCAAGAGTGGTGAAGAACCGTTCCCAGGGATTAGAAGGGGGCCCTGCTGCACTGCCGGGGTGCCGCGGGCCAGAAGACTTCTCAGCAGGGACGACAGTGATGCGCAGAGCAGGACGGAGGCAAGCGATGCCGGCACACAGGCAAGGGAGCAGATTTGGGGTTCGGACACCGAAAGGTACCCAGGGTTCTTAGCATTGCTAATAAAATAGTAATAACAGCATCTAACGCTGGCACAGTGGTTATCAGCTTATGAAACACTTTGTCTACATCATTCATGCAGCAATTTCCATTATGATTCAGTAGATCACAGTTCTATAAAAGTAATCCATGTCCTACTCCATCAAGCCCTAACATGGAAAGTCCCATCAGTTTACATAAAGTTAATATCACTGTTAATTTAGTAATGAAGTTGTATTAAGTTACAAATTATGACACTCTGCTCTCAATGCTCCTCCCAGGCATTCTTCAGTTTTCCCTGCCCCCTATTCCTGGCCACAGGACCTTTGCACATCACTCCCCCTGGGAATTCCCCACCCTGTCCTCCTCTGCCACTCCTGAGCCTTTGAGTCTCAACTTAAGATTTGTTACATGAATTCATCATTTTTGCCCTTCCTTCAGAGCATGTGCCTTGGTTTGTTATTACACATGAACTAACATGCCTGTGCATTTAGTGCCTTTTACCTCATTAGAGCCTAGGCCGCACAGGGTAGGGGACTGAGACTACTTCACTCGCCATCCTATTCCCAGCACCTGGAACTATGCCTGACCCTCGGTAGACATTCACTAAGTATTTCTGAAAAAAGGAAATTAATTTTTAATCCACCAAACACAAGACGTGCAATGGCTTCAACTTCCAAGGCACTGCTTACGTTGTTTCAATATCCCCCCTAGCAGGAGCTGGGCTGCTGAGGAAAAGTAAACTCCTGGACATTCTTATTTTATTCCAAAAATGACGACTCATTGTTATGTATATACTTTACAAATATATGTTAGGTACCAACGCTATAATTTTAGCATAATTACTATAATTGCAAGAGAAAAAACAAAATCAAGGCCACAATGGAGACAATTACCCTTTGAACTCTAGAGAAGAGCAGACACCACCATGAGTCCCAGGGCAAGAGGTGCAAATTGGCACACTGGTTTCTGCTCTGCAGACCCATGGCCTCCCCAGACACCTCTGAAGCCCCATCCAGCAGGGGACCTCTCAGCCACAGAGCCCTGGATGTAGGGAGACTGAGGGTATTACAGCTGCCTAAGTAATTCCAGAGCCCTGCAAAGCTGTTATTACTGACCGATTTATGCTGCTGGTATTTAGGAAACAACCGAAATACAATTCCAGATGGAGGCATTCGGCGCTTGAAGAGCCCTGTGCTTCAGCATAGGAAGAACAAAGACACCACAGAACTATGTTTTAAGCTAAAAAGAGACTTTCTGCTTTTCCCTGGCCAGCATTGCTTCCTATATTGGAACAAATGGCAATGAAATCAGAAACCATGGTGGGGACTGTCTGCAGAGATGGTCAGAGATGAAGAGATGGCCTCCCTGCCTGCCCAGATTTGGTGACAGGCCAAGTGCTCTGAGGGTACAGTGGGTACAGTAGGGCCATCCCTGTGTGGATGCCCAACACTGGGAAGGCAGGATGAAGGTAGGCCATGCTGGACATCACAACCTGTAACTCATTTTTTTCTGTCCTTCCAAGATTGCCTTAAATACGGCAAGCAAAGCCTTGTAACTGCTTTAGCTCTGTATATTCTAATTATATTTGCAGCAATGCCTGTGCAGTTCAGTTGACCCCAAACTCAAAAGACTATGGTAATTAAATTTTTGCCTAGTTGTCCCCAGAAGGGGGAGGTATGATGCCCGTCACCACACACGTGCAGCCCCTGGTTGTCCCTGGTGCAAATCTGATGGCAGTTGTCGGGGGTGGGGGGGAGCAGGCAGGACTGTTCTGATAATAGACTCCGATAAAGGGCCCAAGGGCAACGCTGACAGCCGACAGGGGCTCCCAATTAGCGTCTGAGTGACGGCTGTTTAGTAAGCGCGGAGGCATGTGGACAGATGGGAACAGACTGAACGCGCCCTCTTGGGGCTTGAGCGGGTGCGCAGGGGGTACATCCGAGGGAAACGTGCCTTCAGATTTGAGTGGAAATGAGGCTTCTGATCACGTAATTCTGTTGTTTTTCTTTTCCTGCTACAACAACACATGTGGGGGTGGGGCGAATGGATTATATGGTTTTGCAAACCTAAGGATGGTGGAATTTTTTAAAAACCTTTCCTTATTTAATGTGTGGGCAACAGTCACTCCTTCGCGGAGGGACCCTGGGCACGAGGAGAGGGTGGGTTTAGATTGCGCTCCAGACGGCTTCAGGCCGACGGTGAGTCGCCGCGTGCGGCCCATCGAGATGCCAGGCACGTTCAGACGCGGCAACAGGCTGCCAGGGGGCCGAGGCTCCGGGAGAGAGAGGGCCCGGCGGTGGCAGCTCAGGCCCACCCCGAGCAAGGGCAACCCGGGCAGCGGGGCCCCTGGGGTCCGTGGGTGGAGGAAGGCGGGGCGCCCGTGGACACGGAGCCCGGTTTTGCCCGACCTCCCGCAGGATACCCCGAGGCCCCACACCGGGTCCCAGGTCCGGGAGGACCTCCAGCCCTCTGGGGGCCCTGCGCTGTCCATCTGCGAGGCGGCCGGGGCAGCTCCGAGCCGCGCAGGGCAGGCACAGGCCCCGCCTGCCCCTTGGAAGGAGGAGCCCGCGGCCCCAAACGCGGCCGGGACGCCCAGGCGCCTCCCCAGGGCACACTCGCCCGGGCGGCGACGAGGGGACAGGGGTCGGCGGGCGGCTGGTGGCCGCGGCGCCCAGGGCTGCCGGGGGCGGTCGTTTCGGAGGGGCCCCCAGGGCGCAGCGCAGCAGCCCGCCGCCCCCTCGCAGGCCCCGGGAGTCCCTGAAGGTCCGCCCGGCCCCCACGTGGGCGTCCGGTGCAGGACGGGGCCCCAGCCCACCGCCCGCAGGCTTCCCCCCGGGCCCCGCCCCGCCCCGAGGCTCGGCCCTACCTCGCCGCTCCGCGCCTCGCCTCCGCCCGGCGCCCGCCCGGCGCCCGCCCGAGCCCGGGCCGCGCAGCCCGCCGGGGTGCCTCCAGCGCGCGTGCCTCTTCCCGCGCACCTGTGGGAGCGCGCGGGGCTGGGGGCGCCCTCCGCGCACCTGTGCGAGCCCGCGAGGCCCCGGATGCTCCCGCGCGCCTGGAGCCCCCGCCCCGGGCCCGCACTCACCGCGTCCTGGCGGCCCCGCCGCCGCGAGGAGCGCGCCCCGGAGCGAGGGACCTGGAGCCGGAGCGCGCGGCCGGGTCCCCGGGGCAGCCAGGCCCCAGCGGCCCGCAGAGGGGTGCCCGGCGCGGCGCCTCGGAGCCCAGCCTGCTCGGGCCCGGATCCCCGCCGGTGGGGGCGCAGGCGCGGCGCGGGCACGCACGGCGGCCGCGGGAGGGGCGCCCCGGAGCCTGCGCCCGGGAGGGAGCGAGCCCCCGGCCGCGCCCCCCGCTCCGGGGAAGGGCACCGCGGGGGACACAGTCCGTGGCGCACAGCCTGTGGCCGGGCTCCCGGTGGGCCGGAACGAGACCCGTTCAGAGCGCCAACTGGCCGGAGCCCTGAGACCTGCGGGTCCTGGAGCGGGGCCGGCGCGCAGGGAGACCCCGGCTAGGACCCTCCCCCGGCCGCAGCCGCTCGGGCCCCCGCGCCTGCTCCCTGCCGTCAGGTCTAGGGGACGCGCCCCGCGGTGAGTGCTAGAGGTTTTGTGCAAAACAATGGTGGTTAGATTCCACAGGCACAGGGATCCCGAGCCGTTCCTTTTTTCTGTTTCAAGTTTTGCTTTCACAGTCTTTGCCAGTAAATATGCTGTGAACCTTTCCGATTTCGGGACTCAAGCTAATACCCTGGGAACACGCTTAGGAAAACCTCGTTCGTTGCCAAGTAGGATACCTTACATCAGGATTGGAGGCAGATACTACGGGATATAATTTCCAAAAAAGTATCTGCCAACTCCAGCCAAACTTGGGAGCTGAAATAATTCCCATCATGCTCCACTTTTATTGTGTTCAGTTGACTCCAGAAATATTCCTAGTCTACTGGGATCTTTTGTTTACCTTCACACAGAGACTGCTCTTACCTGGTTCACCCCACACCACCCGCTAAAAGACGCCCGGAGTGCAGCTCACACTCACCTCTCTGCAGTGCTTCCACTCAGCCCCCCATTCAAGAGAAGCTTTAGGCTGACCCAGGCTTCATAGCCTCATGGGGCCCCTGCCCACCTTTGTGGATAAGCCTCCCGTGGCCAGAAGCTTTCCCAAATTGGAACTGTTGACCTGGAAGCCCTGGCCTGTCTTCTTTACTGTTCTGCAAGCTTCCAGAGATTGAGGTCATATTTCATACCAAACTTTTCTTCCCACTGGATTTTACAATGCTTGGCATACACCAGGTTCTCAGTGTTTGGTGAATGAATGAAAAAAATGAATTAACTTAGGGGATAAAGGGAATAAGGGGCCTTATGATTAGCACACATAATGTAGGGGAGGCATGGGGAAAGCAGTATAGCACAGAGAAGACAAGCAGTGAGTCTATAGCATCTTACTACATTGATGGACAGTGACTGTAATGGGGTGTGTGGCGGGGACTTGATAATGGGGGGAATCTAGTAACCACATTGTTGCTCATGTGATTGTATATTAATGATAACAAAATGTTAAAAATGAATTAACTTAAAATATTCAAACCATACACCATCTAATAGATGAGAATGAAGAACCCATCTTTCCAGCCTTTAGATGTTTTATCTTAAAAAATGTACTATGGCCCCAATATGATCAGTGGATAATGCAGAGGAACATTCCACATGTTTGGTGAGTTTATTTGAACTAACGGAACCTCTAGAGTTCCTGAAATGGAGCCTGGGTTATAATAATGTTGAGGACCTACCTTTAATATTAAATAACATCCATTTCAATAATAATACTTTACTATTTAAGTGTTGCACCACTCAGAACCACCTAAATCACACATGGGGGACTTGAAGAGGTACACCAGTACATCACCGTGTAACACACCCGAAAGATATAAATGAAACTCACAGACTGTCCAAGGTGTGCTGATTTACGGCCTCCTGAAGGCTGAGTCCAGTGACCTGGTTCCGAGCTAGCGGGAGCTCCGAACTCCACCTGGAATCTGCATGGAGCGGTGGGGGTGCCCAGCTTTGCAGCTTGGATGGGATTTCCAACACCAGCTTCACCCTTTGCAAGTCTGGTAATTTTGGACAAGGCCCTCACGCTCTCTGGGCCGCATGGTCCTCTCCTGTGAAATGGGGATGTGTCTGTCCCTCCCTCATGGATTGGTGAGGGGATGTGCAGTAGGCAGGGCTGCTCACACCTGCCACTTGCAATGTGAGCACTGCGCCTCTGGGGGACTTGGGGTCTGGGGATATTTGTACCCCCCCCAGTTCTGTGTGCCCCGGGAGTATTGTCATTGTGCACAGCCACTACTTAGACAAGAACAGGTCAGTCACTTGTTAGGAGCCCTGCTAGGATGCTGGCTGCGTTCCTGCATGTGCTAATACCAGGTAACAGATCACTTCCCCGCAGCTTTTTCTAGCCCATCAGAGTTCATGCACTCCCCACCTTCCAAAAAAAAGCAGTTAAATTTCAGAAGCTGTCAGGAACTGTTCCAATCGCTACAAAGTACTTTGAGCCTCTTGGCATGCAAAATTAATTAGGGTATCTGTGTGTGGGTGTGGAAACAATATTCCATTTCATTTAAGAATTCTAGCCACATTGTAGACAGGAGAGCATTTTCCCCAGAGCACCCTCTCAAATGCACCGGCCCCAACCTGAACTCCTCAGCTCTGAGAACTCTGGGGCATTTGCATTCCTCTGTAAGCTGCTGCTTAGAATGGCAAAGCTGTGAAGCTCCTTTCCTGCAGTCTGTGTTTTCCCAAGTATCATATGAGCCAGAGCCTAAGAACGTTATGCCCAGAAAGGAGTATGTCCCTGCCACTCTGAACGGCCGCTGACTAGGGCCTCTTAGTCATGCACACATACTGGCCGCGGTCCTGACTCCCCTTTGCCCCTGCTGGGGCCAGCACTGTGTGGTGCAGGGCTCAGGACGTGCTTCTCGGACTGGACGTCGGTCTCCTCTGGTTCTCCAGAGGAGAGTGTGGGTGCTGTGTGTATTTTCCTCCAAGAGAATACAAGCTACCAGGAGGCAATAAATTCTTGCCAGGTGAGTAAATATTGCAATCACTAAATGGCCATTAAGTTTGTTAGTGTCGATTCTAGTAAAACCTTCTCTCTGGAAAAGGAATAAAAATTCATTTTTAAGTATTTTCAAGGTATGTGTTCATAATGTTGGGGCAGGTTATCAGCAATTAAATATGATTTCACATAAATTTGTCATGTATCTCTGTTAAGTGTGTGTATAGTTTTGTAAAAGATAAAGGCAGATACATGCCTAAGGGTGACTCTGGGGTATGGAGACTGTCCCCACTTTACAGTTGAGGATACCTAACTCTCAGAGTTTAAGGTCTCTTTCCTTTGGCCTGACGTGGAGCTGGAATCCTAAACACACAGCCCTTGTTCGTGTTCACAGCAAAACAGACTTCCCGAAGGAATGAATGACTCCGTGCTTCAGTGTGAGAGCAAGAGGCTCAGGAGCATAAAGCCCCTATTTCATATACAACTGGAGTCAGTGTGTTGAAAGTGAGATTGGAGTCCTCGTACCTCTTGACAGCTTCATCTCACTGACCCCACCGTGAAACTATTTTATGGTATGATTTAAAGACCTAAGTTCTGAGCTTAAGTTGCCCAGTGCGCCGTGCATCTCTTGATGGTTTGTGCCCCACTAAATCAGCGCGGGCGTCGCTGTGGGACGAGTCCTGTCCTGAAACATCACTGCTCAAGACCCCTGCTGCAGACGGTGGGCCCAGGCAAGCTTCCCTACAGGAACCTCATGGCCTCGCCGGGGGCTCCAGGGCGCAGCAGGAGGGGCACGGCTGCTGCTGCTACATGGGGGGCCCCGGAGCCAGGCTTGCCTTGTCAACAAAGTCTGTTCTCAATCACATCGCTGCCACCAAGTAAAGAGTATCATCAATGGCTTTGATGACGCGCAAGGTGAAACAAGACAAAACTCCAAACCAAACTGTGCCTGGCGTTACCGACCTCACCGCTGATGTGCGTGGTGGCAAAAGGTTTTCAATCTTTCAAGTCATCTTTACATAGTAAAGGTCTAAATAGTAATTCCCAAAAGTATAAACTAAATAAGGATGCTTTATCTGGTAGTATATTTTGGTTAACCCCAATGTAACGGTTCTGGTTGGTTGAAATGGGTCCCCCTACCTTCCCCCCAAAAAAAGATATGATGGAGTCCTAACCCCAGGACCTGAGAATGTGACCTTATGTGGAGATGGGTCCTTATGAAGGTCACCAAGTTAAAGTGAGGCCACTGAGGGGGCCCTAACACAATACGACCAGTGTCCTTATAGGAAGAGGGGATTCAGGTACAGACACACATGCACGGAAACCACATGCAGTGCAGACAGACGGGAGGGGTGTGGCCACAAGCCCAGGACCGCCGTGGACGCAGGCACACCCCAGCAGCTGGAAGGGGCAGGCAGGACCCTCCCCGCCCCCAGCCTTCAAGGAGCATGGCCCTGACCCACCTGCATCTCCGGACTTCCGGCTGCCAGAGCTGGGAGAGCATAAATGTCTGTCATCAAAGCCCCAAGTGTGCATTCTGCCACGGCCACCCTGGGAACAGACACAGAGGTTTTGTGTGTTCTCTACAAGGAGCACTTTTCAAACTGTCTGTTGTCATCAATCAGTTCATTTTTTAAAAATTTCAATCCATTATGGACTGACCTTTTCAAGATACTGTAAAACTGAATTGCTAGAGAAAGAACATTTTTAAATGACATATAAAATTCAAAAGCCATCTCCTTAGTGGTAACCCGGCATAAACCAGTCTGTCAACCTGCTACGCGGTTTCGCATGCTGCTCAGTCAGGACTGGCTGGAGGTCTGCGGAGGGCAGTGGCCCACAGGCTCCTGGAGCTGACCGTGCGGCTGGCCTGTCCTCGAGAAGGCCACAGCGCCCGGTGGGTGCAGGCGGGCCCTCCCCGGCCCCTGCGTTTCCAGACCAGGTAGGACTGTGGAATTAGGCAATGCATTTGTGAAAAATTAGTCTGGGGAAGGGGGCGAAATGTCTGAAAACGCACTGAACTATTCCCAATAAATACACGGGGAGATGTCAGCTGCCAGGAGAACCTTTTTGTCTCTACCAGACGCATCTGTCCTGCTGCGCTCTGGGACTCGGGAGTGCCAGGAAGGCGCGTTTGGAGACACTACATCCCCCGTGATGGCCTCCGTATTGAGCCCAGCCATCGGGGAGGGGGTGGTGCTCCTGACCTCGTGTTTACAGCGGTGCTGGGCCACTCCCAGGGTGCGGGCGGGCAGTGCCCCTGGCTGGTATTTGCGCCGCACCCTGCCTTAGCTCAGGCTGCCGTGGGGAAGCTCCACAGATACCTTCCCTCTTCCTCAGGGTTCTGGAGGCCAGGAGGCCCGTGATCTGGGTGCCTGTCTGGCTGCGTCCCGGTTGGAGGGCTCTTCCTGGCCTGTGGTCGGCACCTGCCCACTGCACCCACACAGGCAGAGCAGCTCAAGCCTCTGCCCACCAGGCCTGGGGGCCATCTCGGGGGCCATCACTGCCCCAAGGCCCCACCCGCAAACACCACCCCCAGGGGCTGGGCTTCAACCCATGGATTCGGGCCATGCATGCCTGGGAAACGAGAGGCAGCCACCGCTACCTCATTGTTCTCTTTGTGGTGCCTTTTCTTTATTTCCCCTTGAAAGTAGATTGTCTTGCATTTGTAACTGGAAGGAAAAAGTACACATGATCGCTCTGGACAAGTGTGTGCGAAGCAACTGCGTGTGCCGCCTCCTGCGGTCGCCCCTGCCCACAGCTGCCTCTCCACCCACCTGGCCGCTCCTGGAGGTGGTCTGTCCCTGTGGGCGTAAGAGGTCGCTTTTCACTCCAGGTCTGTCGTTCTGTGCTGCTGGGACGAACCGCCCTAAATCAGAGCTTAAAGCAGCACAGACTCACTGCAGTTCTGTAGGTCAGAGTCCAGCACTGAGCTAAACTCTGGTGTCGGCAGGGCCGGTCCCTTCTGGAGGTTCCAGGGAGACCCCCTGGCCTTGCTTTCCCCGCTCCTGGGGGTGCTCCTGGCTTGCTGCTGTCCTCCATCACAGAGCCAGCAGTATGGCACCTTCAGCCCCCTCCCACCCTCCGTCTCCCTTTCTGACCTGTTTCTATCCTCACGTCTCCACCTCTGTCCCTGCTACTTCGTCTTACAAGGGCCCCTGTGGTGACACTGGCCGGCCCAGACAGTCCAGGGTCATCTTCCATCTCAAGACCCCTAACGAGTGACACCTGCAAAGTCCCTTTTCCGTCATAAGGTGACGTCTTCCCACACCCGGGAACTGGGGCGTGGACCGCTTGGGGCCACCATTCAGTGCCCACAGAGTCACTGAGGCCACTGCCTTCCTCCAGTCTGTGCCTCCACCACCCAGACAGACCTGGACCCACAAGCACATGACACGTGTTTGTCCAAAGAGCACAAATATCTGAGTAAGAACTGAGAAAATCACAGGATAGCAGAATAATCTTGGACGGCAGCCCACATGACAGGTCCAGAGGGAAGCTGTTAATAACCTGCTGAATGTGGACAGGACAGGCGGCCACCACCACCCGTGCTGGGCCTGTGTCCCCAGCCCCTCTCCCGGGTTTCCGAACGGAACTGTTCAGACTGCAGACTTGGACTCCCCACCCCAGGAGGGCAGCTGAGAACGGTGCTCTGGCCACCAACTTCCAGCAGCGAGATTTGTCCCGGGCTCAGCACCTCCTGGAGGCTCACAGACGGCCAGCCATGTCCCTGGGGTCCACGAAATCGAGCTAGCAGGCCCCTGTCCTTTGAGGAATTGACCCATGGAGTCCACTGTACATCTTTGTGCAGAAGACCATTTGTGTACGTCTGGATGTGCGTACATGGAACTTGCCTAAAATAAGGTGTTAGGATGTCCCTGGCCAGCAGGAGTTCCTCTCTCTGCTGAGAAGAATCCAAATCCTCTCTAGGCCATAAATCAACCATTATATATTATCTTGCCCAAAGATAAATATAATGGTGTCTGAATATTGGCTGATTGCCACTGTGCAAACTTGTTGGTCCATACAAAAGGCTCCATTTCATGACCTGAACAAAGTATTTTTATATTCAAATTAGAATAGCAGTGCTAAACCAGACAGACGGACATCCGTGCAGGACACCTGAGAACAGAGCAGGAGAAACATGTGTTGACACCAAGAAAGAAGTCATGCAGCTGATTTTCAGTGGAGTAGAATGGAATGAAATGAACTGGTTCCCTAATAGGAACCTGGGTGTCCAGCTGTCGCTCCTGCGGGTGTCTAGCTGTCCTAGCTGCGTCCCTGGCCCCCACCCCCTCCACACTCCCCACATGACAATGTCTCCAGAGGTTGCCAAATATCCCTGGCAGGAGAGCAAATCACCCCTGGATGAGAAACACTGAACTAGGGACAGAACAGTAATCCCGTAAGTTAGGCACCAAAAAAGAGGCAAGCACTTATTTTTTGATGAGCAGAAAAAAATTAAAATGATTCCTCCGTTACTTACTTAGCCGGAGCCACACACGGTGCTGCCTCTGCAGCTCCTCGCCGTCCATGGCTGGGGGCGGCTCACATTGCTGCGTCCTCTTCCCCGGTTACCCTGAGCTCTGTGTTCAAACGTCGTATCCCAGGCGACCTACCCAAGCAGGGCTGGCGGGGACCCAGGTCACGCGACCGAAAGCACACGCCTTCCGCCCCTGCATCTCAGGTGGGCCGAGTCCCCGCTCCCCTCGGGCCCTGGGCTTTTGCCATCAGCCCGGGTGGCATTCTAGAACATGAAACACAGCGTCACCCACGGTCAGCAGCTCTACAGGGCTCAGCTGCAGACCCTCCAGACAGGGCGGTCTGTGTGAGCCAGGGCTTGTGGAAACCCTGCAGACCTTACGTGGTGGCAGCCCACAGGGCTCTGTCACTGGCAATGTGCCACCGTCACTGTGGAAAAGCTTGTGGACAGCACGAACTCACCGGCTCTGCGTGGTGTCCACGTCCAGGCCTCTGTTTGCTTGATGCCCTGGCCGGGTCCAGAGGCACTGTTACACATACCGGCCACGCCTCGCCTCCCTCCACCCCTGTGGTTCCCACCCATCACCCTGACTCTGGTGGCTCCTGGCTGTGGGCTGGCACCGCATGAGGGCTCAGCGCACCTGACAGCCGGCCTCACTGCCCCCCACCCTGGCTGAGTCACCTGTGTCAAGGTCCCTTGACTCCGAGCCACAGCGTCCTCACCCGCAGAACGGGAGGCCAGCCACCACCATGGTTGTCTTAAAAGACCTCGCGGCTGGCACCCCAGCAGCCTTCAGGCCTGGACCCTGCAGTGCGGGTGAGGAGACCCCTCCAGCGGCCAGTGGCCCCCAGGGGTTGCCAGCTCCTGGGCTTTGGGGGCTTGGCAGTGGCAGGCTCTCAGCCCTCGGGGCAGGGGAAGGGACGCCAGTGCCAATTCCCGCCTCGGCTCTGCCATCGGCTGACTCAGCTCCAGACTCGGCACATCCTGGGCAGAAACAAGACAGTGAGAGGGAGCCGCGACCCCGTGGCAGGGACCGACGTGGTGTCTGGGCCCAGGGGGGCTGCAGGAGGTCCCTTCTTCCCCAGAGCTGTCAGACACCACAAATTCCCCAACTGCTCCCCAGAGGCAGTTCTTTCCCAGGCTCCTTGGAGAGCACAGGAGAGCAGAGGGTGGCCAGACCCAGGCCCAGGGGCTGCCAGCTGCCACCACACGGTGGACACAGAACGGACAGGCTGAACAGCCCCGCTGGCCAGTGTTGGGGGCAGTGTGTACGTGGGGCCAGATGCCCGATGGGGGAGGAGATGGTGGGGCACGCCTGGGTGGGGCTGGTGGCAAGAGACACATGCACATTCACGCTCACACACATGTACATGCACCCTCCCCGCTCTGAGCCAATCACCTCCCAACACTGTCACTTCAGGAGTTAGGATTCCAATATGGATGGGCTCACGTGTCATCCACCGTGCTGGCCAAAACTCACCCAGCCTGTGGTTTGGTGTCTGTACCAGGAAGCTCCAGGATGCCCAGTGCCAACCCCAGGTCAAGGCACGTGGACCCGCCAGCTCAGGCCAGGGCCCTGGAACCGGGAGTGAGGGTGTGGAGCTTGGCCTCCCAGCCCGCCGGGCAGACCCTCAGCAGGGCCGGGCCCGGGAATTACTCCCCTACCAGGAGGGCCAGCGGCCACTGAACAGCTGGTTAGAGCCCAGCAGGGCCGCGCTCACTCCTGCAGGGCCTGGGAAGTCACCCCATGCAAGCACATCTGTGGCCTCTAAGTGCAGCTGCCTGCAGGGCCTTGACGATGCTGATGTCCCTCCTTCTGCTGCAGGTCTGTGTCCCAGGAACCTGGGGTGTGGATGAGTGGCCACTCCTGCCCCCAGCCTCCCCACCAAGAGTCCGTCCTGCTCCCACAGAGCCCAGGCCTCCCAGGGGCTGGACGTACTGGGTGGCTGCAGCAGCCCCAAGCAGCCCCTCAGCTCTCACCAGCTGCAGCCCGGCCACTGCCCTCAAGTCCCAGCAAACGAGGCATCCATCTGCTCTGACCACCCGACCCCTGCAGGTTTCTTAAATTCAAGGCCTTCTTTTCCTTACATCGCTACCACCTCCGGAATGAGGCCAACTCCCAAAGCAGACAGTGGAGCTGAACTTGACAGGCCCCATCAGACATCCCCCTACCCTCCGGAGCCACTGCCCCCTACTCGTAATACTGTGTTTAAATAAAAATACTTTATTTATGAAATATGAGGGCAGCTAACAGTTTAAGAAAGCATGGGGAGGTAGGACTCACCCGGGGCTGGGATATCTATGCAGCTTGGAAAACATTTGGCTAAATCATAAAATTAGCAGTTTTAGTCATTTATAAAGTGCTGAAAAATGTATTTCCGGTGAATGCCTGCATCAGGTTTTTGCTTTTATCCAGCCAGTAAGTAGAACATCGATACATGAACACACTGGTCATGACAGGAGGCACGGATGACTCGCACAGCTGGCTCTATGCATCAGAGTACAAGCTTGCAAGTTTGCAGAAGACACGGCTGAGTGACAGGTTGTGCCGGTCCTGTGTCACCTCCCTTGGCCTGTGTCCCCCTACCAGCAATGGGGCACCCACACTGCCGAGCACCAGGAGTCGTTTGGAAGGCATGTCAAAAACAGTGCTCTGGTCAGACAGCGCTCCGGAAGATACTGATGGAAGAATTCACCAAGACACTTTCTGTGCCGTCCCTACAAAGCTGAAGCATACACATTCCTGACACAGACATTAAGGCTACTTACTCTGAGAAGGGAAGATATTTTGGCCTTGACACTTGAGTGTAAATATTCACAGGTATTGAGCATTTTGGTTCAAAGCAAACATTATTTGTGAAATGTTACAAGTAATATATTGACTAAAACATTAACTGTTAATGTTTTAATAGAAAAAGGCCATATAAAAATACTACCTTGTTAAAATATACACTACACACATTATACCACTTTGGAAAACCCAGATGCACTTCAGAAAGCAAATACCACCACCTGGACTGGTATGTTTACCTGGCTTTCTTCATTGTTACAATTTCTATCCTGGAATTAAAAGATATACAATATAAATAGAAGCAGTGAGTCTGAATCAAGTAAAATTTGTTTTTAAGAATCATTAATAAATTTCCTACACTACTGAATATGACCTATTTTTTCTCACAAATTCTTAGTCTGCAGATTCTCAGCAAGCGGTACAGGAGCGTGCCCACGGCACGCCCGTTCACGCAGATGGCAACGGAGGTCGCAGAGAGCTTCAAGCCCGGGGCTTCAGGCCCCGCCAACGTGCTTCCATATCACGCCCTCCCCGGAGCATGTGTCCCCTACTGTGCTCAGGACAGAAGGAGCCGAATGGTAGGAGCACGCACCGCTGCGACATTGCACGTTTCTTCCCCAAACACAGTTTTGGACTTTTCCCGAACTGTGTAGACGCGGCCTGAATCGCTCAGGTCGGCCGAGGGGCTCATACGTTCAGCAGCGGGATCTGCCAGACCATGATGGAGGAGGCCAGCTCCTCCGGGCGCTGCGGCCTGGCCTTCCTGCTCACCCGCCGGTGGCCCTGGCCCCCGCACGCCACCAGCACAGAGCTGGCCTTCACCCTGCGGGCTCGCCGGCCCCTGCCTGGCAGGACATCAGGGTGCCGCAGGAGGTCGTGGGTGGCGCTCCCCTCCGACCTGGGCTCCAGGGAGCTGGAGCCCTGCACTGGTATCAGGGACCCCGATGAGGACGAGCCCTGTGAGCCCCCGAGCTGGGTGGCAGGGCCCCCCTGACTCGCGCAGGGCCCGGCTCCCTCACGGGGGAGCGCCGCCTTATCGTCTCCATCCGGGGGGTCTGCGCCGGGCGCTGGGCTGTCCCTGGGCTTGTCCTGGTCGGTCCTGAGGATGGCTGTGGCTGTGACCAGGAACTTGACAGGCCCGTGGTGCGCGTGGTAGGAGACCATGCCTCTTCCTGGAAGGAACCGCCCGGAAGCCTGTCAGTGGACGTGCCCGGTGGGCACCCCGTGGTGCCCAGCGCCTCCCGCCTCCCACAGGACGGGACCGCAGACAAAGCTCCCACACGAGCGACAGGGAAGTGAGAACTGCTCCATGATCGCAGCCTCACGGGCTTTTAGTTAATTCCAAGAAAGCTTAGGAAACGACGGGCTGACATGTGACCCCAGGTCCTCATCAGCAGCACCTCGGCTCTAAGAGGCCCACCATACTTGTAAAGTATTAAAATGGCTCTTTTCCTGTTCTCTGCTTAAATGCATTCTCACGGGCTCTTAGGAAATATATTAATTTTCCTAAATCTTGATTCAAAAAGTTGAATGCCTGAAAGATGTTTAGTTTGGGAACAAGATGCCTAAACTGCCAGTGGCTTCCCACCATTTTTCATTACAAAGGAGCTCTGTGGTTTAGAATGAATTAGTTTGTGGTTTTAATTAACGTGGCAACTTACTTTTCAGTAAAGTGATGTGAATTGAGTTTTAAAATCATCCCCTGACCCATGAGCACATGGGAGAAACGACCTTTGGGTCTTTATAAAACCCAGGTGCCCCAGAATGCCCGGACCCCGATGTCGGGTCACAGGGAGCCCCAGAATGCCTGGACCCCGATGTCGGGTCACAGGGGTGTGGCGTGGCTGTGGGAAGCATGCGCCCTCCTCACAAACGCTCTGGGGCTGAACAAGGCCCTGCGCTCACCTTCCCACTTTGGCCAAAGCAAACTACATTACAGGATTCTCTGGCCACGGCGAGAGGCCCTGCTGCCAGAGGTGCTGCTGGTCAGGGGCAGGCGCGGCTGTGGAGGGGAGATCAGCCCCACAGTCCGGGAAGACACGGCAGCATCGCCGGGGAGGGCGGACCTGTGTGCCTCCCACACACCAGAGATGCGCCCCCTGGACACACCCCCAGAGGGGCTGGCGCCGCTGGGGAGGGAAGAGCGCCTGAAGATGTGGGCAGGTATTCTGTGCCGACATCAGGAAGCAGGTGCAGAGACAGAAGGTCTACAGACATTTCGGTGGGTTTCCCACAAATCCTTTCCTCTCAGAGTTCTTGCCCCATGTAGCTGGTATCATGGAATCAGTAAGATCTCAGTTCACTTAACTTACGGACGTAACAGTGCTCCGTACTAGTCAGAGTTCTCCATGAACATCACTGCTACTGGCTGCATTATATTCCAAAATGGCAATAAGACCATTTTCTCAAACATTTCCCTACCCTTAATTTTGAACATTTGTTTCCCGCTTTGTGCTACTGAAACCTGAATGCCACGAAAATATCATTCTGTACTGTGCTTTCTTCACAGGTGTGGCTGCCTCCCACAGCCAGATCCTGAAATGGAAATGCTGATTCCGGGCACATAAGCACGTTCAGGCTCAAGGTCCATAAGGCCAAACCTCTTTCTGAAAAGGCCACGCCACCTTAACTCGTGCCAACAGTGCAGAAAAGCCCAGGGGGGCCTTTTCAGGTGCCAGGCTTCCCACTTTGCTATATAAAGTATTAAAAACATCCACTTTCATTGAGCAAAATTATCTAAGGACAGAAACTAATAGGGAACAATAATGGTAACATAAAACACGTTTTGGGGTAAGACTCTCCCTGGGCCACTAACATAAGCAGCAAGAAAACAAAAGCATGAATGGGTGGTTCAAATTAGCAGGCACCGTCTGTGTGGTACACTAAGAAAAGAAAAACCCTCCACACAGTTCAAGCAGGTCCTGGGATGGTGATGCATGACAGAGCTCAGCGGGCTCACAGGACTGGCAGGGCCCAGGCACAGGCCCGCAGGGTGGGGGGTGGACTCACCAGTCACCTTGGGGACGCCCTGCAGGCGGGGCACAGGCAGGGCCACCACAACGCCCAGGCTGGTGCCAACCATCAGCAGGCCATGGCAGACGAGCAGGCTGGTCACACAGAGCCGCTGGTGCCCTGGGCAGAGAGAGAGAGGTGGCCTTGCACGGTGCCACGCTGGCTGGGCTCAGACCTGCCAGACTGCACAGCGGGTCCTGCCGTCACCTGTGACCCCGCATCTGCCCAGGTTGGGATATTCTGTGTGGGGCACCGGCCACATCTTCCAGGAGAACATGACTGGAGCCCCGCAGTCTCTGGGCTGCTGTGCCCATGCCAAGGGCCCTCCCCGCCATGTCCACGGGGGCAGGACAGACATGGGGACAAAGGGCACAGGTAGCTCCAGGCTTTAAATGGGGTAGGAACACTTAGAGGGACCATCCCCGCCTCGGCCGCTGCCCAGTGCTGCCCCCAGACCACAGGAAGGCCAGCTCTGGTCAGCAGTGCGGCCCCAGGGCTGAGACATATCAAGGAAAGGCCCCCAGCTTTACACAAGTATCTGCCAAAAACACAACAGAGGGAGTGGGTGAAGGGCACACCAGCCTTCAAAGTGTGGTGGGGACCCTACACAGGAGGCGCCTCTGCTTGCCCCAGAGCAGACGCGACCAAAGGAGGTGGGCAAGGCCGGTGCTGGGTGCCCCGGGACCCAGGATGGCGGCCAGAGCCGGGGGGCACGAGACCCACCCCCTGCTCTTGCTGCTTCCATGTAAGTGATCTCGGGTCCGGTGTCACTGGCCGAACTCCCTCCCCATGTGGTCAGTGGTATCTACAAGTGACACCGAGTTTTTAAAAACCCAAACTTCGCCTATTTGTTCTGGCTCCCGGGAGGTGATGCATTCACTCAGCGAGACACAGAAAGGCCACTTAGCCTCAAGTCTGAGCTGCTTCCTGTCAAAATCCCTGCCTGTGAAAGCTCGGCACCGAGCAGAGAACGGGACGCGCCCAGCGTGGGGCCAGAGGCCCGCCGGGAGAACGCGGCCTGGAGGGGCTCCTATGACCCTGCAGCCGAACATCAGCCCCGCGTGGCCGAGGCGCCCGACTGGCGGCTCTGCGGTGTGTGCCGGGGAAAGGCCTCCCGGGCCCGGCTGCGGGGGACAGTGTGTCAAGGGCTCAGAGAGGCGGACAGACTCAGGTTTCACTGACTCAACAATAAAGGTGTGAGTCACAGTATGATGGTTTTTTGTTCTGTTCTGTTCTTTCTGTTTTTGGAAGTCCCCATCCCTCGGCCCTGCTGGGATCCGATGTGCCAGTGACAGCACACGGGGGCGATCCACGCATTACTGCCACACCACACCACAAGACCCTCCTGGGAGCCGCCGCGAGCACATGCTGAATGGCGGTCCCGTCGCCAGCGAGCACGGTGCTGCGGCCTCCAGGGAGGTGCTGGCTGGCCCCGAGGGAAGTGTCCAGTGGGCGACCCCGGCCCACACCCTCCCATTCAGTGTGCCCACATGCAGTGTGAACATGCAGAAGACAGCGAAGTGACGCTGATCAACAAGCCTCCGGCCTGCGGATTCGGGAACAATGGGAAGAAAGGACTCTTTGGCCTTCCTGTCCTCTAAATCCCAAAATGCCAAGGAAGTCAAACTGATTTCAGATTTCACTTTTCCAGGGATGGTATTCGAGGACCACTGTCCGAGAGGACCTGAATTCTACTCTAAATTTCCCAGCCTTCTCCTAGCCCACCAAGCCATGGGGGCAAAGACCTGCAGGTAAGCACAGAATGCCCCCAAGTATTGGTGAACTTAGATGCATTTCAAATGTGATACCCATGTGCAAGAGGGCACAGGCCGACTGAAGGCACCCCGCCCACTCTGCATGGGACTCAGGGCTTGCTCTCCCTGGAAAAGAGGCCCAGTAATTTGCACAGGAATAAAGTCAAGACAGAGGCCTGTGGGGGAGGGGCAGAGGGAGTGAGGCCGGCAGAGATAGGCCCCGGCGGGTGCGGGCATCAGGCCCCTGTGCCAGGTGCCACAGCCCCCCTCTCTGCAGAGAGCCCACGTGGATCTGTGGTCACCAACCATGCACAAGGAACAAACAACGGGGTGCTAACTGGAGGCTGTCAAAGCAGCCAGGAAGGCCGCCACCAGCAATGTGGGGAGGGCCTCCCGCAAGGCCTTTAGAGGCAGGAAGAAGGGCGGCAGCATCGCCACTGGGGGCCGAGGGTCCCGGTCCCTTGGCACTGCTGGGGCTGGCCTGTGAGGACTCAGGAACCACCTTGGGGCGGGCGGCCTGGGGGCAGCAGGGCTGGGGCCCACCGCAGCTCCATCACCTCCCCTCCTGGATGGACTTGTGAGTGTGCAGCCACACACTGGCAGGAGGGGTGTGCACACTGGGCCTGGCCTCTTCCCAACCACCACGACAGATCACGGCTGCAAAGGTGTCCACCAGCACCAGCAACAGAGGACACAAGTCCCCCGAGGGCGTGGACACGGGAGGCCCAAACCACAGTGGTTTCCTGAAGGTAAGTGTCTACGTCAGGGAAGGCTCTGTGCTCCCGCAGACAGAACCACCGTACAGCGTTGCAGGCGTGCTCTGTGCCGTGAGCCCCAGAGTCCCCTCCACACACACACACACACACACACATGTGCGCTCACGGTGACCAGGAGGTGGTAGGGGTGTCATCCGGCCTGACCGTGGTGGACCCTTCACCATGTATGTGTTATCAAACTCTATATATGTATTAAATACAGACATTTACACATCAGTGATATCTCAGTAAAGATGTTAAAAAATAAAACAGAAGAACAGCTGTCACTCACCTTCCCAGATACAGGGGTCCTCAGTCACCCGGTGCCCCCGGGCTGGGCCTGGGCCGCTGGCCTCTGCTCCCCTCTCCCTCCCTCCCTGCCCACTTCACCCCCTCCCAGGACCAGTGTCTTCCCTGTCAAAGGCCAGCCCCTCTAGGACTCCCGAGCCTCAGCGTGCCATCAACGGTGAGCCTTCCTCCGGCACCTTCTGTGTGAGCTACAGACACCTGCACCAGTGCCGCCGGCCGCCAGCTAGCGCCCAGCCACCAGAACAAGAACCTCCCACCTGCCCCACCTGGGTCCCACGACCTTTGAAGAATGGTTAAAAATAAATAAACAAATGTATGCCAGGTCCCCATCCAAATGTAATTTGTGTTGAACTTGTAAAGGATTTTGATGAGCTCATCTCACTGCTACACTGGCCCGGCTACTTCCTAAGGTTCCCCGCCTCACTGACCCGCAGGACACAAGCACTGTCAAGCGTATGAAGTCAGCAAACGGGCATCAGCTCTGGGCGCCTGGTCTCGCTCAGCCTTCGCTACTAACTCTCCCTGAGTGAAGAGCTCGCCCTCCACTTCCCGGTGCCCCCTGGCCCCAAAATACTGTGGGCAGGCTGCGCCCTCCTTCGCCAGCCTTGTTACCTGGCAGCAGGTGGTGCACAAGGGTGGCGATGTTGATGTCCTGGAGATGCCTCAGTGTCTCCGTGTGAAACAGGCGGAGCATGGACCCTGAGGTGAAGGCGATCCACACGCCCACGCCAGCAATGGCCATGTGTGAGACCACCATGCCTTCCTCCTGGTGGGCCTCCAGCTGGTTCTGGGAAGAAGGAGAGTGCGGTGTGTGGAGCATGGCATGTGCCAGGCTGCAGTCGTCAGGAGCGGCTCCCCGCCCGCATGCTGGGACCAGGCTGTGTGATCGTCCTGCCTGCAGAGGGCCACCTGCAGCCCCCGGAGTCCCTCACGGCACCCTTGCTGGCCTCTACTCCAAACCACGACACGCCGGGTAGGGGAGAAACATCCTAGCGGGAGGTAGCTCTATCCCTGCCTACACGCCAGGTGCCCAGAGGAGGAGCATGCTATAGTGAGCATGGAGCAGGTGGGCTCTGGAGACACCCCAGTGCTGACAGGGAGGCTGGGACAGGGTCGGGCTCCGGGTCACGCTGGCCCTGGTCCATTTCCGGCCCCTCCCACTCCCCGGTCTCGGCTCCATGGGAAGGGGGGCCCAAGGGCATGCCTGCCACACTGCCCAGCACCCTTGGGCCTGCACCAGCATGTCCCCCCACTTTGGGGCCCTGCCCCATTCAGCCCCAGAACATGGACAAGCCTCCTCACCCAGAGCTAAAAGGAAAAGGTTGGCGGGAGGAGGGGCTCTCAGCCAAGCTCTCACCAGCCCCTCTCCCCAGTCTGCAGGCTGCCCGGGCCCTGGTCTCGAGGCCCTACCGGCTTCCCCACCGCCTCTCCTGCAGAGGCCCCAGGGATCCCCTGACTGCCAGACCCAAAGGACACCCGTTTTCTCTGGAAGGTCTAGCAGGGCAAAGAGCTGGGGCTGACAGAAGGTCTGTCCCCGAGACGGCAGCCAGGCCCCAGCGTCCTTCAACGCACAACCAGTGTGCCGTCCTGACTTGAAATGCCACCTCGAACACAGGCTGATTTTCCAAGTGTCTTTGAAGACTGGCTGTAATGCTCACAGAGAATTTATTTCTTGAAGTGATGTCTGTTATTAATGAGCAGGTAAACTGTGAATGATCATTCCATGAAAAAGCGTCCTGCCACCTAGGTGGTGAGCTGAATTTTCTAGTAAATCTCATCTCTCTAAACTGAATCCAGAAGGCAGGGCTCTGTCTGGCTTCCCGCTGTGGAAGGTCATGGGGACCGGCTCTGAAATGCGCCTTTACGCACTGTGTAGCTGCCCACAGCACCCACCTCTACAGCATGAGTCTCCACACTGATGGCGAACGCCTGGCCTCCGGAGGCTGCCCACAACGTTTCTTCCGTCATCAGGAGGCTTCTCACGGGCAGGACGCCTAATTTGATGACTTTATGAGGTTCAGAATTCCAGGATCCATCTTAAAATAAAGTATTTCTTTTTATTTCCTTCAAATTCAGTCATCTGAGCACAGGGACTGGGGAAAGGACCACATATCACTTTAAATAAGACAACCAGATGTCACCTGTAATTTCAATGGTTACACTTGAGCCTGGTCTCTTCCCAGAAGCAGCACCATTTCCACAAGGCAACCTAACACAGTGACCGAGCGTGGAGCACCTCGGCCAGCAGGCTCTGTGCTGACCCCAGCTCAGCCGCGGGCACCTGTCCTGCACGCACAACACACCCTCATAAGGATGCACGTAGGGCACGGCTCAGAGCCTGGCAGACAGGTGCTCACATAAAGTGACCCAGTCGTCAACCATAGGACCTGCACCCTGAAGAGCTGGGCAAATGCTTAAGTCTCCCCTTCATCTGCTTTTGCTTAGGAATAGCCCTTGATAACTCTGAGAAGACACTGTAAGTTCACTGAATTTACAAAAATAAACACAAATTGAGGTAAAAGGCTTCTCTCTCTTTTGATGAACTTGCCCCATTCCTGAAGCATAGAGAGGGATAAAATATTTCAGTTTGAAAATATTTTCAGTAATCCACTGTTGAGGTTTATCACACTGCATATAAAGTGTGAGTCAACAGACAACTCGGGTGGCAATAAAAAATTGTTTAACGCAATATTTAATGCACATTTTAAAGTGACTGTTGTAATTACCCAGTGAGTAATTCAATCCTTCAGTTTTCAAAGGCAGCATGAATTAGGCCATGCAGCCTCCAAGCATGAGTGTGTGGGTCCATCAAGGCCCCGAACGGCTGGGCCCCAGGAGGAGGCAGGCTCTGGGGTCTGCACGGCGCCCTGCTCCTCGGCTCTGGCTGCAGGCACTGGGCCTTCTGATCCAAAACCCACTTACAAGTGGCTGTCTCCTGCCGAGGTGCTCGGTCACTAGGTGACCAGGCAAGTTCTGAGTTTTGTGGCATCCTTTTAAGTTATAACCCAGATTCAATGGAAACTTTCTGTTGCTAAGAGGCTAACAGACACTGCAGGACTACAGCCCAGGGGACAGTGACCCGCTCGTCACTGGTAAGACCTGCCCTGGAGCCAGTGCACCACAGTGTGGCTAAACACCCACGCACACACACACTCACAGAGGCACACGTGTGTACACATGCATGCACACATACACAGGCACACACACATGTGCACACACAAGCTCATGCTCACGTGTGCAGACGTTCTCATAGAAACTCACAACACCTGACCCTCGGATCTCCACTGTGATGGGAACAGGGGCTCAGCGTGGGTGCACGCCCACCACCCCAGGGTCCACACAGGATTGGGGGGGCAGGTTTCTGAGTCCTGGACCACCTGATGCCACCTGCCCAGGACTCGGGCCCTGGGCACCTATGATGCTGACGCTGCTGTTTCCTCTGAGAAGAACTCAAAGATCAAAGATGGACCCGCTTCAGACACTGACTTCGGTTAAGGATTAACTTCCAGTAGTTTGTTTTCTGAGCACCTAGGTCGCTCTTTCTACAGATCCTATGCCCCACACCCTCCCACAGAACCCTCCAGAAGGTGGGGGCCCCGGCCACTGGGACGTGTGCACCAGCTGAAGTCGATGAGCAGCCCCTCTCATGATAACTTCTTGGGGTTTCCACTCCCGGGCTGAGTTCTCAGGCTGCGTACACCAGAGCCACGCAACACATGCCAATTCACTTTGATATAACACTTAAAAATCTCGAAACTTCCCACAGAATTCCAGATTTCCGACTGCCTAAAAAGTCAAAGACTTGCTGTAGTGCGTGGCTGAGAAGCAGCATTTCTCTCTTTGGAAGGTCTGCAGCCAAGTCCTCCCACCTCCGAGGACAAAACAGCAGTGAAGGGACACCATTCCAAAGACACACAGGTGCCCAGAGGCACACGAAAAGGTGCTCCATGCCGCTGCTCATCAGGGGAATGCAAGTCAAAACCAGAGAGATACCACCTCACACCCGTCAGAATGGCCGCCACCCAAAAGATAAGAAATAACAAGTGCTGGCAAGGATGTGGAGAAAAGGGAGCCTCCCACACTGCTGGTGGGAATGTGAACTGGTGCAGCCACTGGGGAAGATGGTAGGCAAATTCCTCCAAAAACAAAAAACAGGAATACCATAGAACCCAGCAATTCCACTTCTGGGTTTTTATACAAAAATGAAAACACTAACTCAAAAAGATATATGCACCCCTATGTTCACTGCACCATCATTTACAATAACCAAGACATGGGGGAAAGCTGAGGCCCACTGACGGGTGAGTGGGTAGAGGAGATGTGGCACCTGAATGCTGTGGCTAATGTGCAGCCCTGGCAAAGGAAATGCTGCCACCTGAAGCAATGGGGAGGGACCAAGAGGGCAAGTCGCCACAGACACCGTGATCTCACCTCTCTATGGGACCCAGGAGGGCCAAAGCCACAGAAACGTGGTGGGACGGGTTCCCAGTGGCTGGGGACGAGGGCGGGGGGTGGCTTTGTGGGCACGGACTGCAACGAGAAGCCATGTCCTGGGACCTAATGCACAGCACAGTGGCATATATTTCTAAGTGGTAAGTACACCTTAACTGTTCTCACCCCAAGAAGTGAATGACTATGTGACTCATGGGAACACTAGCTGACAGCATGGCGAACACCCCACAATACACGCATTTACTGAATCAACACGGGCTACACTCTAAACTTACGCAGCGTGATATGTCAGTCCTATCTCCATGAAGCGGGGGGGAAAAAGGCTCAGCCACTCCAAATTAAATGAATAAAAATAAACCCTGAATAGGTTCATAGCACTGGAAGAAATGGACAAAATATTCCAAATCAACTCAGGAAATTTGCCAGACCAAACTGAAATTACTGTAGTTTTTCAAACTTCAAATTGCTAATAAATCCCATGATATTTCATGCTCCCGGAGCAGCAGGAAAACCACCGGAAGCGAGTGGATCTGGGCTGCCCAGGCTGGCCGAGGTGGCAGAGGAGGGGCACACGCCACGCGGCATGACCGTCGGAACGCAAACTGACCGGCCTGGACCAGAGACCCAGACGCGCCACGGTGCCCGAGCCTGACCCGCGGCCGGCGCGCACGAGTGCCCTGTTTCGCACACTACACGTGCCTCGGGCCAGGGGACACATGCTGACCCGCCAGGACCGTTACCTTGCGCCTTGCTGTAGACGGCCACCGCCCCGCTGACGAGGCCGGCATACAGGCGGCGGGGCGTGCAGGCCAGGCTCATGACCGTGCGCCGCTCGGGGGTGAAGAAGTGCTGCAGCCGCGCCTTCTTGGAGCCGTGGCTGCTCTTGTAGACGGAGATGCTGCAAGAGGAAGGCAGCCTGCTAGGCTGGGGCGGGCGGGGCCGCTCCTCACGCCTGCCGCCGCCCTGCCTGCCACCCCCACCCCGCCGCGTGCTGCCCTGTGGATGGCGGCCACTTCCATCTGTCCTTCGCATTCAGAGAGAAATTCTGGGTCACAAGCGAGCTTCCGCACTTCCCGTGCACCCTGAGGTCCTGCGCACGGCGGCCTTCACTTTCCCTTGGGCTCAGTCAGCGCACAGGGTGGCCCTGCAGGTTCTGAAGCCAAGGGGCACAGGACTGCCACAGGCCCGGCAAGAGCCCAGCTTCCACTCGCCTCTGCCAGCTCCCGAACGGTTTCCCTGCTGTCCACCATAGCAACCCTAGGATCCCGTGTGGGCCTGAGGGGAGCACCCTTCCCTCGCTGCTGGCTCCCCGCCCCCAGTGACACCAGTGAAGTGTGGGGCCTCACCTGCCCTCCTCGGTCCCCAGGCAGATGGTGGGCACGCCCCGCGCCCTCATGGCTGCAGCTGTGGGCTCCGAGGGGGCGCCGGGCTCGCCGGGGCTCAGCTCCGACGGCACGTGCACCATGCACAGGATACGAGACTCCACGTTGAAGCACTCGATGACTTTGGGGTTGCCACTTTGAAATGAGACGATGGAGATCTGACCCATCTGACTGGTACAACTTCCGATCTGCATCAGAGTCACAGAGTTAGGGAAACGGACCCGCTGCTGCATGGGGTACATGGGAACCCGGCAGTCACGGGAAAGACAGATTCGACTCTCACGGGAGGACCCACACGCCTAAAGGGCCGAACAACGCGTTGACTAGCTGCCCACGTGGCCCCTCTCCCTTCCAGCCTGTGACTGGGTTATCTCTTCTTCTAATGCTAATAACAAGAACTTAGTTTTGGTTTTCTTAGGAATCATGTTTTTATCCTTTAAAAACCCCGAACCTGGCACTACTCAATGGGAAAGGCCTATTCATACACAGAATCTAAAAAAAGCAGACTAATACCCATTTTAAATGACCTAGCATCATGTCTAACAGGCTGCCCCTAAGACAGCAGAGAATGAGGCGGTACGGAAGCTGCGCATCCACTGTGTGACGTGGCAAGTGCTGGCTTTGTGCTGACAGTATCTGTGAGCCTCTATTAGCTGGTCACTCAGTGACGCTCAGCAAAGGTCACGTCCCAACTGACACTTGCATTAACTGAGTCCTGGGGAGGGCCTGACTGGCTGATATGAAGGGCATGCAGCCCCTGGGAAAGCTCGGCTTGGTTGGGGTGGCCATGGTCGCAGGTTCTTTCTCCTCCCACCAGTTCTGGAAATGCTGTGACGCTCCTTATCCTGACTGCTTTTTTCCACATTACAAATAAGCATCCTGCTCTGCCAGCCTTTCAGGGGAAGGACCCCAACTGCCCAGCTGGCGCTGGCCTCTGAAGAGGGGTGTGGCCGGGAGGGGCGGCCAGTCCGGCCGGCTGACGGGAACTCTCCCGGGCTGGGAAGCCCCGGGGAGCCGCCTGCCCCTCCGCAGCTCTTGGCCTGAGCAGACCGTCTGCCATGTCCCCCAGCTCGGGGGCAGCGGCCAGGGCTGGAGACGGCTGGGGCATGCCAGGAGGGTCCTGGGGTTCCCAGGACGGGGCGCAAGAAGCCCCATGGCTGCGTGACAGTGAGCTCCACTTGGCACGAACCAGAAATATCCACTGCAGTTGCAGCACAAATATTTCATTTGGAACTGATTCGTTTTAACTGCTAAGTTCCCCATGTAAAAAGCCAGCAATAGAAGGAAAAACAGCTCATGCAATTCAAGGGCCAAAATTGAAGAAATACTTAGATTCTCACATTAGTTGCTAGTTGTCTTGGGACTGGATTTGGTCTGGTATAGTTTTATATGAAAAAGAAAAGATGTGTTTTATTTCGTAGGACGGCACATCTTTTCCACAGTGCCCAGGGCCCTGACCCGTTTCATGACCTCCGTGTCTGCAAGCACGACCCCGGGCACGCCGGCAGCTAACAGCGACATTTACCCTGTAACTTCTCGTCACGTTAACTGTGGATATTGATTCTTCTTGAACTTGCATTGAAAACAAAGACGTCTTACCCACAGGAAACCGTGAGCCGTGGACAATGAATCTGGCTGAGTCTCATCATTCAGGTAAGGTTCAGGATTGTAAGCAGCACATTCAATCTAGTGGGAGAAAATCAAGCACCCACATTCAAATGGGGCAGGAGGTGTGCACACGTACCTCCTTCAATGGACAAGCTCTGGCATTCAGCTGCACAAACTCCAGGTTATTACTTATTAGAATGACAACAGGAAAAGGGGAAGGTCCAAGGACACCCTCTAGATCAGATGTTTGCAGGAAGCCCCTAAGCAAGCCGTTTCCACATCCAGTACTTTACCCCCAGACCCCGGCACTGGCCAGAAACAGGTGTCACAGAGCAGGGGTGCCGGATGCGGTGTGGCTCCCTGGGTGGAGGCAGGTGAGCCAGGGTGGTGCTGCCCACTTGGCCCCCTTGTCTGTCCACCCACCTCTCCCGGGGCTGGGTTCCCCCAGGGAAGCCTGGGCTGCAGGTCTGAGTGTTGGCCAGAGGCCAGCAATGAGGGGGAGGAGTCTTTCCTTGTTTCGCACACACCCACATGCCCCTGAAGCCCCAGGGGCCCTGCCAGAGACCCCGAGGTGACAGTTCAGGGACACGAACAGACCTTGGCCCTGCGATGGGTTTGCTGCAGCCACAGTGGGCACTTTACTCAAGTTCAGCCTCTGCCTGTGACCCACACAGACGCTGAAGGATGGAGGCGGCGGGTGCAAGGGGAGGCCTGCAGAGCACCCCCAAGACAACCCCTGGGGCGGCCTGACGCACTGGCCTGAGGCAGGCAGGGGCCCAGGGACAACCCGCCGCCTGCCGGGCAGCCTCCGACTGGACAGGATGCTGCCGTCCCACACAAGGTGGCCCCCTGTCACTGTCACCTTGAGCTCCTGCTGCTTGGCCACTGTCACTGGCACGTGTCCCACGAGAAGAGGGTGTCGCTCCCTTCGGATCTCGTTCCCGTCGTCCTCCACGCAGAACCAGCCCATGTGGTTCTCCTCCCCTGCGGCCACAGGCGAGGGGCAAGAGTGAGCGACTACATGGGAAGGGTGCCCACCACGGCGGTGGGCTGTGACCGGGCACTGCTCCGCTCTGCGGGCACCGGAGCTGCAGGCCCAGCTCCCGGGGAGCAGCACAGCCCTGCCCCTAGGCTCGGCTGCTGGCCCGCCCTCCCGGGGGAGGCACTCTGCCCGTGTCCCAGCGACTGCATCTCCCTCCCGCCCACACCCCCCTACAGGCTGACCGTCACTCGTAACCTACCCATGTCTATGCTTCATCTCCTAAAAATGTTTTCAAAGTAACAGATGTTTAGACTCAGCGGAGGTACAGGGAGAAGTTTAATACAATATAATGCCACGGGGTGCAGAAGCGCAGGGAGTGAAGAGAGACTTCATGGGCAAAGCCTACTGTCACTCAGCCCTGAGCATGTAACGCACCCAGAGGTGAAGGGGGCTCACAGGCTCAGCCTATCCGCTGCAAGGTGGGCCCCCTCCCCGTCTGCTGAGACACTCTGAACCTGCTGTGACGAAACCACCACAATGCCCAGGCAGGTGGGCGCTCCCCTCCCCGGGTGCAGGCTATTGGGAGGGCGTCCCCAAGGGGCTCGGGCCCTTCCAGTCACACGACATGACACCCCAGTGTGTTCTGAGTGACAGATCTGCGTGTGTGAGCTGCACACAGGCACGTATTTCCTACACAGGTCGCAAGACTGCAAGGCTAACGGGGCAGAGCCACAGTGACCCTAGCTTCACCCCCCTCCCCTGACAGAGCCACAGGACTCGTTTTCCACTCCAACCTTATTCTATTCCACAGGGAGGGGTGATGACATGGCCGAGGTGAGCCACACGGAGCCAGGCCCATGTGGGACCAGGGCTGGGGCCTCCACCTCCAGCCACAGACCCGGGGGCTTCCCCCACATGGGCGGACAGTCTCAGCTGATATGGAAGTTTTGTTAAAATAAAAGCAGGGCTTTTTTTCTCTACAACCCCTAAATTATAATATAAACAACTTAAAAACCAATGGGTGAATTTTTCCCATTTAAAACAGCCCTTTCATTTGAGTGGGTGAATCGGTCGGTATGACTTTATCCTCTGAGGTCCACCTGCCATCACAGCCCAGGAGACACTGGGGCTGTAGAAATGTGCACGGTCCCTCATCTGAGTGTGCCTCATGCAGCTCTTGGTGCCAGCTGGTGGCCGGTCTTACCGAGGGCGAGCTTGGCCATCTGCAGGGTGCTGATCCAGGACTCCTTGATGGCAGGGGTGAACGTACTGAACACAGCCGTGAAGAACGTGGGCCGCCCAGACCTGCCGGGAGAGGAGAGCGTCACTTTACCGCGCGGGCCCCGCCCTGTGAGTCCCCACATGCCCTCACGGTGACGAGCCATTTCCCTGGCGCTGTGCTGGGGTAAGGTCTCTACCTACTTGTCCTGTTTCCCCGGCAGCTGTAACTGAATTCGGCAGCAGTCGGCGGCTCTGATTTCCTCTTCTTTCTTCAAAATAAGTCTCTGCAAACCCGATGTCCAGTCGTGGGCTACTGCCTGGTTTAAATTCTACAAAGGAAATATGTAAGCACATCTTAAAGTGTCAATAAGCCAGGACCGTCCCAAGGACGGAAGAGCAGGAGACACAGCGATGCCCGTGTCCCATCACAAGGACGCGGCCCTGGGGGACAGGCTGCTGGGCTCGGCCAGGGCGCTTCTGATGCAGCAGCTCGGGTCTGCCCACAAGAGGGAAGTGACACTGAGGTGTCCCGCCTCACCCGACACCAGGGAGAACACACATCAGACCTAGTCTTAGCCGTGTCATTTCTCACTTGCAGTAGAACGTGGAAGCACCCACGTGCCCACGATGACTGGGGAATTCCACCCCGAGGGGCCTGGGCTGTTACCTGGTAGTTCCCTCTCAGGGTCCCGATCAGCTGTGCCATCTGGCCAACCACATTTAAGTCGTGCAGCAGGTTCTGTAAGTCCTGGTACAGCTGCCCGGGCCCCATGTAGGCTCTGCCTGCAAACGAGCAAATGGAGGCGCACTGGCCTGAAGTTGTGTTCGCTCCCAGCTGCTTATGGGTAGGAAACACTAAAATAAATTCTAGTTGACTGGTAATCTTTAAAAAGTAGATGTTTTCAAGCATTTAGTAGTTTTTGCTTTCCTAACCTCTAATTTGAAATGATCTTGGGCTTACAAAACTAGCACAGAGCTGCCTCCTGCATACCTCCTTTGGCCCGGGTTCGGGAAGCGGAAACCTGGGGAACCACGGCACTGTCCCTGCAGGGGCTGCCGGGCCTAGCTGTCCACGGAGATGCACAGGTGGGAGATGCAGTGGGAAAGGGAACAGGCTGGGGAGGGCAGGGGCTGCGCCCCGGGGGGGTGGCAGAGGAGCCCCACACTGGCTGGAGCGAGTTCCCGGCACCGGCACAGCCTGGGGTGAGGCCTTCTGCAGGCGCCTGCAGCGTCGGCCAGGGGATGGTGATGAGGACCAGGCCCAGCGCTCCGGCCCTACTGCTCCTGAGGGGAGCGGACAGTGGTGCAGCCCCTGGAAGCAGAGCGCTGGGTTTCCTGCTGGGCCTCTACCTCAGGAGGGTCAGCTGGGCCTTGCGCCTACTTGCTGGCACCTCTCGGCCAAGCGCCCGTTCCCCTAGAACCTCAGACACCCTCCTTCCACACAGATGCCTGCCTTGGGGTCATTCTTTGGGCTTTGTTTTGTGTTTAGCTGTGTCAATTCTGGCCCGAACCTCCCTCCACATCCTGCCCTTGGCCGAGGACCCGGACCTGCTGTCCCCGCCGACCCCGCCATCTCCCTCCTGGACCCTCCTCAGGACTTAAGGATATGCACATCTCATCCTGCTTATTACCTTTATCAGGACAACTACCATCTCCTGTGCCATGTCCCCAAGCCACTGCCACAGCCCTCCCCCCAGAGCCACACACAGGAGCAGCTCCAGACATTGTCACGAGACTTCAGCATGAGGGGCACCCGGCAAGCACCTGGGGACGGAGGGGACCAGGCCAGACCAGCTGACTGGCTGGCCTTCACACTCTCTACACACCCCCGTTCTCTCCCCGCGTGTGCGCCCCCTGGGCCCATCGAGGGCGGCTGCTCTGGCGCCCACAGGCCGTGGTTGCTAGGCAGTGACACCCACACTCTGCCTTTAATGCTGAATAACAGGCCAATCTTACCAATACTGAATTTCAGAACAGTCATTCAAACAGCAGAAGAGTCATATGAGCATCGACTGAGCACAAGAATTCTAACGCTTCTCAAAATCATTCAAGGATGACAAATGCAGGAGACTCAGGAGGAAGGAAAGCACGTAGGCTGAATCTGGAGCCACTCATGAACAGCAAGACTGCTGGGCAGCCCAGCCAAACAGCGACCCACGGGAGGCACAGTCCCACTGCCTTGGCAGTAACAGACTCGCCAGCTGCAGCCCGGCGCTCATGAGAGCGATATTAAGGACACGACGCCACCGAGACCAGCTCAGCGCCTGTCCCTAACAGACGATCCACCATCCTGATGGACCGGACAGAGCAGGACAGCTCCTGGGCCCGTCCAACTGGGCCGTGAGGGTGTCCTGAGCGTCAGGACTCTGCATGCAGGACGGCACACTCCACCCCCAGGGAGACTCGCCCCAGGGCACTCGGACTGCATTCAGTCTTCCCACACACACAGAATTAGCAAATGTTAGTTTGCTCAAAGAAGTTACTTTAATCCAGAAGGCATTTTTCAGGCCACTGACTCCACATCCCTCTTCCCTCTGAGCTGAAATGTGGACCCACTCTGTGGACAGGGAAGCCAAGGAGCTGAGGTCCACACAGGTGCACCCCCAGGCCACCTGCTCCCACTGCCCTGTGTGCTCGGGACCCCAGGTCAGCCCTCAGCACTGTCCGCCCACTGGCATGCCCAAGGTAACACCACTGTCACGTAAAATGGGCAGGCTGCATTTCATGGGACTGCCATAGTAAAAACAAACACTTAAAAAATAACATGCCCATCACAGTACGGAGGTTACTGAATGATACTTCTAGGCACTTGACCACCAGGATGGGCAGAGACCCCGCAAAGTGCCCTTCAGGGGACACATGGCCTGAGAACACAACCCCATCCCCACCCGGAGCCCAGTCAGGACAGCGCCCACCCCTCCCTCCTGCCACCACAACCTGCTGATGGAATGACGAGGCAGGCGGCATGTCCCCTGGCGAGGCTGCACCACCCCCCAGGCACCTTCACTCTGCCCTCTTTATTCCCAGAGACAGAGGGCTCCCTGAGAGGACCAATGCCCGCCTCCTTCCCCTGGCCTCAGGCACCCACCTCCTGCGTTACCGACACCACAGGGTAAGGGGGTCACAGGAATGAGGCCCCACGGTCTCTGAAGCGCCTTCTCAGGTTCTCGAGTCTGCACGGCATGTCTCCCAGGCAGCCCGGTCTCTCCTCTGGACTCAGAAGTCCTGTCAGCCACACAGCCAGGGCAGAGCAGTTCACTTCTCACAGTGGTTACCCGGCAGCCTCTCCAGTCTCACATTCCTGGCGTGGAGCCGGTTCCCGTGGAGACACAGCCACGGGACCCCCAGACCTGGAGGCACAGCCACAGGCTGTGGAGGCTCCAGGTTCTGTACACTCACATGCTCGTCACCCCTGGACGCACACACTCCCTTCTGTGTCCCCAGCGAGGTGTCAGGTAAGTATCCCTGAATGAATGAGTGAATCAATTGACCTATCTATGTACCCCAACTCTACATCCAGTGAACTCCTCCTCCTTTAAACCCACTTCAAAGGCACCTGCTTTGCGGGAGTCACCCCCTGCTGGTCTCCCAAAGCGCCTGCCTTGTCCTACCAGGGTGCACTGACCCTGGTGCCCTACTGCCCTGGGCCTTGGGCACCTCAGGCCGCCTTCATCTGGGAATCCCAGGACACGGTGTTTGGCCTGGGACAGGCCTTCGACCAGCAGGAGGTAGGAAGACGTGGTTTAATTAGACATTTAACAGGGACTGGTGATTCCATTTTCCTTTCCTTTTCATTCACTCACAAACACTTCTTGAGCACCTGTGCATGCCCGGCTATAGAGCTGTACTGGAAACGACGAAGGTTACAAGATTCACAAAGCAGGAATGAACCCATTTCAGAAAGAGCTGATTTTAGATAAAGTTCCTCACATACTCATTAAGTTACCGGTATTTTAATATCTTAAAATAAAGTTATTATAATAATCACACTGAAAGGCACACACACCTCCGTCAAAGGCAGGGACAGGTGGAGAATGGATGGTCTGCCTAAGGTTTGAGCTCCATCCAGAAAAGGGAGAAGAAATTTCTATTGATGGCAGAACAAGTCTGTCACTTACACTCTCTGCCCACCACAACATGCAAAAGGCTGCTCCCCAAAACCCTGCCTCCACGGTGGCCATGGCCTTGCTGCTTACAGAGACGTGAGGCGAGGTCTTGGCCGGTCTGCAGAATACGATCATGTGTGTTTCGGCTATTATCCAATGTCTCTGGAACTTAGGAACCAACAACGAAGTTCTTAAAGTCAGCACGGAGAAAAAGTGAGTGTTACTCCCATAGCGATGCGCGTCCTGTCATTGGTGACCAGAGCTATGTACCCACCAGCCGAGGCTGGGGAGCCCACAGTGGCACGGAGAGCGCCAGGACACCCACCGGGCTCTGCCTTCCACGTGGCCGCTCAGGCCGGGCCATCCCCTTCACGCGTTTTGATATCGCCGACTGCTCTGCACCTCGTCCCAAGTCAGCTCAGCAGTAAGTCGTGAACAGAAAGGTGAGCAAGGCAGCGTGGTGCCGCCTATCGGACGTGGTGCCGCCACGCAGAGCCGGCTTTAGCAGGCTTGACCGCAAGGACGCAGTCTGGCCGCAGACACATTTTAAGATTGGCTACCGTTACAGAATGCACACAGGCATTTTTTTGGTTCACAAAACCAACACTTAGGTATGATCTGCAATAATTTCTGCTGGATAATTTAAGTTGCATCTTTAATAACTTCCAAGAAGCAAGTCATTCACATTGAGTAAAATCTATATGACCTGCATCAGAGACCACTGCACCCTGCTCTCCTCTCCACACCACACCTCCGGGGGACCCTCCTCAAAAATATGGACCCAGTGTGGTATTTTGATAATTAGTGGGGACTGTACATTACATTAACAAGGGGTGTGAGTCAGTCATCAACTCAAGGGTAAGATCGATAGTAACATGCTGGACGGACGAGTTTACTAGGCAGCGGGCCAAACGGGATGACCACAAACATTACACAAATGAGAATAAACGATCTTATGGCAGATTAGACCTAAGATTATGTCATGTTCTTGTATATCCAAATGTATTTATATATTCAGTTGGAAATGTAAAAGGCTTTAAAAGATGCCTTCTTCTGAATGTGTCAGAAACAAAATAATCTTAAGGGTTACTGAGTATATTTACATCATTATGAATATTTAATATACAGGCACATCATGTATAAAAAGATCTACTGACAGTTCCCACGCACTGTATTTACATGGTCCACAACTCAGGGGCACAGGCCAGAGAGCAAATGCACTCAGCCAGGCTTTATGTGGATTTAAAAAGAAGGAAAAGAAGAGAGAGGCTAATGATGATCACTCATTATAACCTGTAGTCTGAGGATGCTTAGTAATACCCGTAAACATCACGCAGCTGTTGATGCATTCCCAAAGCCCCTGACCCCTACTCTCTTTTTAGCTGTGGGGCCTGCAGCAGGAGGGCGCTGTGAGCTGGCTGGCGGCACAGAGGACCCTGTCCACATGCTCTGCAAAGAGGAGCGGTGCCCAGTGCTCTGGAAATGAGGGGCAGAAGTCAGAGCCGGGGCCCTGCATACGTGTGGGGGACTGGGAGCTGCCCACACTGCCACCATGGGGCCAGCTTGGAGATCGGCAACCAGTGTGGTGTGTCAGCCTCTGTCTGCCAGCCAGCGTGGGACAGACTCCGAGCCTGGCCATCCCACAGATGCACCATTTGGCTGGGATCCTTCTGGTGTTACAGGCAGAGGAATGAGCCAGGGGCCGGCGTGGACACATTAGTAGAACTGTCACTTACTTGGCTTGGCCAGGCTCTCAGCGAGGTGCACAGGGGGACACCTACTGCTCTCTCCCGCGCCCTCGTTGCTGCTGTATTCTATCACTTCTACGTGTCCAAGAGGAACACTCCACTTTAACAAATACCTCTGGCAGGTTGACGTCAGAGCACCGCTGTCATGTGTGGAGCTGAAACAAGCAAAAACTGTTACTTCAAGAACAATTACATGTCGTCTGCCCAGAGAGCAGGGGTGCCTGCCCCACAGGTCCTCCAGATGCCCAGGAAGCAGGGGTGCCCACCCCTCAGGTCCTCTGGGTGCCTGGGAAGCAGGGGTACCCGCACCCCGAAGCTTTTCCTCAATATTAACTTTTTAGAAACAAAGCGTGGACAGGAATAACATAAAGCTGGGTGCTGTGCCTAAAGCTGAAAACCTGACTTACAGAGCCAATTCACTCCCGAACCACCCAAGTCCCTCTGATACGGGTGTCACACTTGAGCTTCCAGAGCACGTGGGCAGGGATGGAGGCAGTGACAGGTGCATCTCGAGTGGCCTACACTTTGGGGTGTGCTTTCCGTCGGAAAGGGGGTGCCCAGGAACTCGCACCAAAAACCTCTGGCCCATTTGAACCCAAAGTCATCATTCCTACAGAGCGCTGGGACCCTGACGTCCTCAGAGGCCTCAAAGGCGTCCAAGGGGGCTGCTCGGACATTTCGGCCTGACCCCAGGGGCCCTCGCTGCGGCCCCAGAAGGGCCACTGACAGCGTGCACGCGGGACACAAAGTGTCTGTCATCATGCACGTCACGTGCTGGACGGGGATCCGGGGATCTGGGCCTCGCCAGGCCGTTACTCTAAGAACCACACGGGGGGTGAGCACAGCAATATCGGTCCAACTAATGCACACACGATTCATCCTGAAAGTACGTCATTTCTGCCAGTCTGAAAAACTGAACCCTAAGTAAAATTTCAAAAGAACCAAATCACAAGGCTGGGCCTCCACCGGGCCCCCTGGCGGAGTGCGTATCTGGGCCACCTGCCTGGATGCTGAGGCAACTTAAGCAGAGGCCATGTCCCGCTTCACTAGGATGAAGGCCCATCATGAACAAGAAAGCCCTGGACAAGGGATGCCCACGTGTGCGTGAGACCGAGCAGTCTACAGAGCTTCACACCCACAACCCTATCCTTCATGCCCACATGTCCACAGGGACAACTACAGGTGTCACCTGGAAAGGGGGCGCCTGGACACCACCTGGCTACCCACACCAGTCTGCACCCCACAGCACCTTCCTCATGACACGGGACGGCAGGCGCAGGAAGGCCTGGCAGCACTTGCCCTAAACCCTCTGTGGCCCGTCACACCCCTAACAGGACAACTAGGCTGGCCCAGCACCCACGTGACTGGCAAGGCCCCACCGCTCAGCGACCACCAGTGCACGGCTGCCCCGGGCTCAGAGGGCGACCGCACCCCGGGAGGAGGCCAGGCTACCGATGTGACCCACACACGGGGCTCTGCACAGGGGGTCGGCAAACTGGGTGCATTCTCCAGGCTTCATCACAGGCAGTGCATGACCCCCAGGCACTGGGCTGCAGGCCCCACCTTGCAGGGGGTCCTTGCGGAGCTGTCACAGTCCCATTGTGACCTGAGGCGGTGGGGCCTGAGGCCAGCGAGACTGGTTTCCCATGTCCCGGTAAGGGGAGCTGGCTCGGCTCCAACTACCCTGGCCCAGGTGAGCCCTGCCTCTCACCCCCACACCTGCGGGGGCCGCACCCCAGTACAGAGGCTGGTGAGCGGGGACGCTGGTGCAGACACAAGAGTTCCCCAAACGCCCGAGCTTTAGTGGTTGACACAGCCAGCCGGCAGCCCCTGGCACTACAGGACACAGCTCAACCTGCCACAGTGCCCCAGAGGCCTTCTGCTCCACAGGGTATCACCATGCTCACAGGGCCGCTCCAGGGAATCAATCGTGGGCTCACCGAGCGCTGACCGTGGCGCACACGAGCACGTCATTTAACATGAAGAGCCGGCGTTCTTTGGTCTTGACAATTTCTCCTCTGTCATTGTAAACGGTTTCTATCATGTCATCAGATCGCACGAGGTGTCGATTGCCGCTGCTGAGAAGCTGGACATTCAAAGTCACATTGACACAGTTGCCACAACCGAGTTGACCAAAAACAGAGAAAGTGTGAGGAGAGACTCTCGCAAATTATACACACAGAGCACCAAGGCTTTACAGACGTTCTCCCTTTAAAGAGAATCCATGTTCTCATACCCCTCTGCACGTGAGCACCGTACACAGTTCAGAAAGTGGCTTTTATGAAATGTTTTACAGACACTGTTTGCAGTTACTGTAAACAGTGAAGGAACCCTGCTTCCCCTTGTAAGCACATTGCCCATGGCCGAGGCTGATTCAGGGAGTGAGGGCTGCTCCGTGCGTGCCTGCTGCTTGACCTACAGCCTCTCTGAATAAATGCTCCCGACACTCATCACACAGCGGGCCACCAACCCACTTCATAAACCGTCCCAACCAGAATGCGTATTAAGTGAGAGTGATGAATTTCACTTTTCCCAAAGGATGGCATAATTAAGAAAACATCTTAACTTCTGTGGCCTGCCTTACTTTATTTCACAAGGTATACAAATACCTTGGTTCTTTGGAAAGATGCTTTGTGTTATCAGTAAAACAGTGTAAGTCATATAGAAGTCAGACTTGTAACAATTTAGCCCAAGAGAAAATCTGGAATCCTTAGCCCCGATGATCCCTGCCACCTTCTAGCCCCAAACCTACAGTGGCTAGCTCATTCCACTGCCCACTTTCCTGACGCCGCAGGAACGCAGGCTGCATGCAGTGACACTAACAGCAAGTGATGCGCGACCGCCTCTCGGTACGCCTCTGAGCTTGCTCTGCGCTGCCCGGGTTTTCAAAGATTCAAATGCCACAGGAAGCATGATTTTCAACATAAACTATCACTGAATAGAACTTTCTACTTATAAAATTATCTAAATAAAAATTTCTATATGAACCATGTGGGGAATCAGGGAAAACGTTGCTTAAAATGTGTTATAATGAAGTTCTTGTAGTTAAATTGCTGAATGTCACTGCGCAGTACAAAATGACCCCTACTGACAAAAACAAAAGGGAAGCCGAGCAAAAATGAGTTTATATGTAATCATTTAACACAGCTCAAGTCAATTAACCTCTTCCTGTGACCTGGGCCATAAACAAACATGGTAAAGTCTACACAAAAACAGGTTATTGCCGCAGGAAGATGGCTTTGTAAGTATAAAGCTGAAATACAGCTTTGCAAAGAGCTGCTTTCAAAATGCATTTTTCATCACTTTTTCCATAAGCACAGCTGATCCCCGCACACATGGGCACAGATAAACATGTAGATAGATACCTTATGTTTTCATCATGACTATCTAACGTGAAATGCTTCATTTTGAAAGTAAAATGAGCTGAAAGAGTTGCTCTTACCCTCTTTAGAGCCCCGGACCCACACGGAGGTCTAATGCACCTGTAACCCCTCTCCTGAGCAAATGCACACAGACCATGAAGCTTCTGTAGCCCCCGGGATCAGTGACCCTCCCGCGTAAGAACCCTGGGCCCAGGGAACCATTCCAAAGGTCCCAAAAGGTGAGGGTAAGCGGCAGAACGACGGAGGCAGACCGGCACAGAGAGCAAACACGGCTTCGGCCCGAGCAGGAAACACCCCCTCCACCTTGTTCAGGTATCTCTCGTTGGCGGCCTTTGCTATCTGCTTGACCTCGCAGCGCTGGTCAGCAGCTCGCTTCCTCTCATTAAGCTTCTCCGCTAAGGTCTCAAGCTCGGTCAGCGCCATCTGGAGAGGCAGCCGGTCAGGATGTCCTTTGGACGTGTTCCGCAACATGTCCTTTTGGGGAGACAAGGTACAATGGGAGACGCGTGACTTCCCGTGTCGGGAAAGGAGGCGGTTAGCACGTGCAGGCCTCCCTCCACACCTGCTGCTCATACGTGGGCAGCTGATGGATGGCGGTGCACTGCCACCTCCGGGGAGGACTAAAACCAGCCCGTGGGGAAGGATGACACTCTGAGTGAGTCACAATTTGGCTGAACATTTCAACAGCTCACTTGCAACACCAAAATTGAGCTATTAAACAGCCCTGCTATGGAAAAAATAGCATTTTCCGATAAAGGACACTGTAAATATGAACATGCCACAATCTTAGATGCATTCTGCTCTCTGTAAGTATGTTCAAAATAATGAGACTGTTTTTCTCTATTTGAATTGGACCAACAGACCCAAGATGGGTCCGGCGGATGGGTTCCAAATACGAGCTGTGCCATGTGGTGGCCCTGCCGGCCGCTATGCCCACGGCTCTGCATCACGCAGCAGGGTCTCTACGGTGACTGTGCCCCCACACTGAGAGGGACTGGACCCCTCTCTGCCCCCCACAATAGGTCAGAGGAGTGAGGAGCTGGGAGGGAGGCGGCATGGCATGTGGCTATGACATGGTCCCCAGTAAAACAGCATCGCATGTCAGACACAGAGGGAGCCTTTGAGGGTGGCACCCAAGTGATATCAGCACCTTTTGCCAGGGGCTTGTGCTGTTCTACCAGCTCACATGGACAGCAGACAGATGTTTGTTTAAGTTGCAAATGTGGCTGCTAAGACCCCACAGACCAGCAGGCCCACCTGCCTCACGCCTCCCATGCCTGCTGCACTAAGGCTGCTCAGCTTCGGTAACTGCCCTGGCATTTCTGACCTGCTGCTCTTGATCAGAGAAAGACACAGTACAAACTATGAAACAGTTTCAGTTTGTATAAGTAACACAGACTATTTTAAACACTTTTTCCCTATGGATCACAACAAATCCCATCAAGGCAAAACAAATCATCTTCAGATGAATTTTGGTGCTGACACCATGTCCTTAGTGCCATGCAGGGCACCACCACACACCCGGAAGCCAGGCAGGCAGGCAGAGCGCAGGAGGCACCACCAGCTGCCAGAACGGACCGTGGAAGGAACACAGGGAAGGACTTGTTCTGGTGCAACGCAGTGAGAAACAATGGCTGGGATGCAGAAAGACCGGGTTTCCGGGGGACCACGTGTTAGACACGAGCAGGCCCAGGACAGCCAGGGGCACCTCGGCTTTACTTTAGGTTCTGGGATGGCTGTAGGGTCAAAGCAGCTACAGGTACCAGGACCCTGGGGCGGCTCAGGGGGACCAGGAGAGGCAGGGGTGGATGTGCACATGGGTCCTCTGCCCGCCCTCCCCACACACGGACGCAGCACAGCTCAGGGGTCAGGCCAGCGCCAGCCCTGCCCTCCAGCTTGTCCCTCCCCCTAGTGGCTCCAGGAGCATCTTCACGGGGCAGGCGGGCTCCTTGGGCACATCCACACAATTATCCCAGGCGCAGAAACTGCGGGTGTCTGACTCCAGCTGGGTGTTCCCTAGTGACCTGGACCTGTGCTGGCTGAGCCTCCCCAGTGGCTGCAGGCAGCCAAAGCATGCGGAGGTCCGAAGGCCCTGAGGGTGACACCCGCTCACACATCTGCTGGCAGCTCGGGTCCAGGGCTCCATTGCGGGCCAAGGTGAAGGCTGTTTTCTGCTGCAGGGGAACGATGCACCCGTGTGGAAATTCTCGGGAGTCTCGGGGGTCCCCAGCAGGTGGCAGGCAGTGGCCTGAACGGACCTCAGCGACCCCAAGAGAGGCAGTGTGGAGGGCACGCAGCAGCCATGTCTCCTTGGGCGGGAGTCTTCCACCATGGCTCGAGTCTAGTGTTTGACTGGAATCCTGAGTTTAAGAGTTTTTATCTATTCCTGCTCAGTGAATTTAAGTGTGAGAGCAGAAGTAAGAAAAAATAAATAAGTAAGTGTGAAGTTCTTACAAGAACCAAATATTATAAATCTGGGGTAATGCTGGGGCAGGCAGCCCTCGGCATCCTGTGCTCACTGTCCCCAGCAGCGGCTGCTCTGTCCCGGGGCCCCCTGCACCCTCTGTGTTGGGACAAGCCGGAGACCACGGGGCCGGTCAGAGCTGCTCTCTGGCTGCACCACCTCCAAGGACGGTGACCGGCTCCCAGAAGCCTGACACCCCCCTCATATTACAAGGAGTGACAAGCCCCGCATGGGCCGGCAGGGCCAGAATCAAGGAGACCCACGTGCCGTGAAGAGGGTGAGCCCATCTTCTGACCCTGGGGACGCACGGAGGGGCCTGAGGCTCTGCCCCCACCCAGCCTCCCTTAGCTCTGTTCCCAAAGGCCCTGACCATCCCTTCTATTTAACAATGTATTTTGGGGAAAACCTGGGCCATTGTAACATTTAACCAAACACTGGCATGCTGATTGGAAGTACATCCAGTTTTGATAAACTGGAAGTAAGGAACGATCAGGTAAGTCACAGAAACCCAGCGTCAGCTGTGGTCTTACCCCTGGTTCCTGGAGGGGACACGGGACCAGGGACGGGCGAAGCATGCTGACCAGTCCCTGATGGCGCCAGCATTCGAGCCTGAGCCCACGCCATGGCTCACGGGCAAATCGTGTCCCTCTTCCAAGGAAGAAGTGTCACGGCGCACAGCGGCCCCGGGGAGCCTGCCCTGCACGCCGACAGCAGGCTGCCTCCCGGCCCTTGCCTCTGCGGAACTACAGCCTCCGCGGCCCGGGAAGGCGTCCTTCCTGCCGGGGTGTGCCGGCAGGACCTGGGGGTGCCTCGCACACACTCAGCAGGGCAGATACTTGTCAACTGGAGGAATAAAGGGCATTTCCCGGATATTTTCATTTTCGGGAAAAAAGCAGCTTTTGTTATTAATACTCCCATACAAGTTAACTGGACGCACATCAGAACATATAAGTGAAAAAAGAGAAAACTGACCTCAAGGACTCACCATGGAAATGACAATATTACTATTTGAATGTGTGTACTTTTTCCTATTTTGAGACTATTTTTAACTAAAAGGTACACGTTTCTCACAGATGCGCTGCTTACTAAAGATACAAATCTCCAGGGAAGGGGACTCTGCAGTGTTTCCCACATGAAGGCGATTTCCAGGGACAACTTCACTACTGATGGTGAGGCAGGCGGGCAAGCCAAGCCCAGTCCTCTGATTTCTCTAGGAAAGGAAGCAGGTGGCACTGAGAGGCCAGTGTGGGCTCCCCCAAAACAAAGGGCAGGCGGTTCACTCAAGGAAGGTAAGTGCCAAATGTGCACAATGGAGGGGCCTTCCGGAGCGGACTTCACATCCGCCCTGAAAACCTGCTTTGCTGTTCAAAACAAATGTATCGAACTGAGAATTCTTCCCGCTGGGAAGTCCCTTCTTCATGCTCTGCCCCATCCCTGGGGCGGCCTGCTGACCGTGAACGACTGGTGCCATCTGTCTAAGCCTGAGCAGAGGGTCTCAGAGGGGTGGACACAGGGGGGGCATGTGCCGCTGAGGTGGGACCTGCCCCTGGCCATGGGAGGAGGTGGCAGGCATCTGCCTGCCCTGGAGTCCGTGTCCGGGAGCCCCCCAGGCACCGCAGCACTGGTGCTGTAAGACAGGAACACATTTGGCCTTTGCCCCACTCTGGTTATAGGCACAGCTTCAAAACCTGGGAACCTGGGCATCCATATCACTGCTGACCAGTCCCTCTACTGGCCGAGGCTACGCTGGGGGGCGGATTCCTGCTGGGCCCTGCAGAGCCTCTGAGGGGCTGCTGCCCAGGGGGCCAGCCATGGGGTCCAGTGGGAGACCTTCAGCCCCACTCTGACCTCTCAGGGGGGCAGAGGCTGGACAGCAAGTCCATCACCAAACAGCCAGTGATTGAATCATTATGTCTCCACGACACCCCCACCAAACCCCAATGGAACAGCACAGAAGCCCCCAGTGAGGGCTCCGAGGGCTTCCCGCAGGTGGGCCAGGAGGTGCTGGGGTGGGGCCGCTCGCCACACCTCCCCCTGCACCCCTCCATCAGGCTGCTCCTGGGCTGTGTCCTTTATACACACCCAGTGAAGGAAGTGACCGCCTTCCTGGGCTCTGTGTGCTGTTCCAGCAAATCACTGAACCCAGGAAGGGTCGGGAGCCCCAACACGGTCTCCCGCTGGGCAGGAGTGGGGTGACCGAGGACCACCACTTGCGGGGCGTCAGAGGCGCCGGGCCGGCTGCAGGGCCTGCACAGGGAGGGGGTCGGGGCCGAGCTGCGGGGCTGCCTTCATGCCCCGCGGGAGGGCAGGACGGACGGGCTCACCTGGAGCAGCAGGATGAACTGCGGGAACCTCTGGATGGGCTTCATCATCAGGCCGTAGAGCGTGACACGGTCCGGGCTCGACTCCGCGCACTGCTGCGGGGAAGCGGGGCTCGCTCACATTTCGGGGCAGGGGACCCCCTCCAGGCGCTACTCACCCCGTAGACGTTCAGGAAGGGCCGACAGGCTGGCCAGCACGTCACCCCTGGCTCTACCCTCCACTGACGCCCACCGGATGCACTGCCACACCTCACACCTCAACGCCACGCCCTCCCCACTGACGTCCACGGCAGGCTGCGGCTGGTGTCTGATTCGAAGTCGTGAATTTCTTTTACTCGCTATTTTAAGAACCACCTCTGCCGGGCTGCACTTGTGCACTTATGAATTAAGTCTATTCCTCTAAGGATTGAGTTCCTTCTGAGAATCGAAACCATGTAACAAGTACAGCTGCAAAATGTCGGAGAAGCAGAGCGCACGAGGCCCTTCCAGGCGGCCGCCCGGCACAGCTGGGCTGAGTCCCTGCGGAGGCTGCGCTCAATGGGGGGGTGGGGGGGGCGGGGACACCGGCGTTTCCGCTGCCTGTTCTGGCCGAGTCCCAGCAGAGGCCACGGCAGGACATCTGGGTGAGGGCTCCGTCCTGCAGGCAGACACCGCCTGGCCTCCCAGGCCGCCTTCCTGCGCCCCGTAGGAGCCGCGCCATCAGGCTGGGTCACTTACAGCCTGGGGTGGGGTCTCCAGCCTCCCGACACCGGGGTCCTGGGATATGAGGGGGACGGCATGGCCTCCCCCAGCCCCCCAGGCAGGTGGTGACCTTGCTGGGGGCAGCCGTCACCTCTGCTGACGGCTCTGGTTTCTGCAGTGCCCACAGGACCACAAAAAAACCGAGAAGTGAATTTTTAAATCATCCTGTGTCTTCTTTCCCCTGAGAGAAAGAAACATGGCGATGTGGAAAGGCCACAGAGTGTGACAGCTCCCAAAGACGGGGCGCACCTAAGCGGCCAGCACACTGGGCAGGAGAAGGGGGCAGTGTCTGGGCCTAAGCGGCAGCGCCGCTGGAAAGATTCTCCCGGGCTCGCGCACACGGGCGGCAGGAGCTGCCCAGGCACAGATCGGGGCTTGGCTCAAAGTCTCACAAGGCCCGTGGGGGCCTCCTGCGATCGAGGCTCGGGTCCGAGGCGGCCACAGCGTCTGGGGGAAGCTCGTCGTGGTCCGGGGAGCAGTGCGTGCTCCTGCTTATCTACACCACACTCCGTGAGATGCCCTCCCTGGCTGGGCACCTGGGGGTCCCCTCCCCGCAGACAGAGGAGGAACAGAGCCGCTGCCCCCCACCGTGGGGAGGCACCTGCCACCTGCCACCCATCCTACCACCAGGACACCAACCAGCTAGCTCTACACGCCCCACCCTGTTCTCCCTAATGTCAGGCCGAAGGACAGGCAGCAAAAAGCACCAGCGTTGGGGGCCTGATCTCAGCTCTCCCGTCTGTCCCGCACACACTTAAGGATAAGTCAGGAAACAAAGGTTAGAATTAAACATTAAAAATTAAGGTTATTTTCAGAAAGCTGGAACCACTAAAAAACCACCTCTGTTTCTAGCATCAACCCAGCATGCAGGGCACGGTTGGTACTAAGATCTTCATAATAAATTACCACACAGTGAGAGGCAAGACTTGGTGAAATTTCAGTAGCAAGTATTCTGACCTGGGACCTATTAGCAGAGGGTGTTAAAATTCCAAATGAGGAGGAGAAAAAACTGCTTACCTTTAAAAATTCCAGGAAAGCAGGCTTCGTAGCACACGTTTTCTTGAGGATTGCCACAGCTGTGCTAAAATTATTCACATATTCACTGTAAGCATCCAGCACCATGGATTTAGAAAACTGAAACAGAGGAGAAAATTGAGAAACCTCAGTAATGCCTGAAGCCCAAATGCTCCCTTTCCCAGGAGACGGTCAAGGATAGAAACCCGCCCTACGATCTCTCAGTCCGTGTCATGCTTCCACAGCACAAACTTTGTTACAACCATGTGCGATTTCCTTTCCACAGGCAAACGTGAGGAACCGCGCACGGGGCTGGCTGGGCTTATTCCTGATCCCTGCACCTTCAGGCGTCGCTGCTCAGCACCATGGCAGGTAGGCTTCAGTTAGGAAGACAGGGCGGCAGACACCTGCTTTAAACTGCCCATCCCCACCCTGCAGCCCGCCTCCAGGGAACAGTGTCCTGCAGTCCGACTGTGGAGGCTGCCCCACCCTGACCCCTGGGAGGGCTCACGGAGGAGGAAATTGGCCCATCCTGCCTCCCCAGACCTGGGGGTCACCGTCCTGTTTTCCCAAAAGCACAAAGGTTTCAAGAGGCAAACATGTGCTCCTCGGCTGGTGTCCAATCCCACGTATTCTCCAGGAGGGGCCACAAGACCCATAAGCGCACATCTGGTGTGATGCCCACAGAGGAATGCTTTCATCTAAGCTATGTATTTGTTTAAAGAGGGTTTTTTCCATTTAAATTAATGTTCCCAAGTTAAATATTTAAGAGGAGGGATAGAGTAAATGTTGACAGTAACACATAAAATAGAAAATGCAGCTATAAAGTATATGTCCAAAATTTCTTGTTTGTTTTCCATAAAGATCCTTGAAGGGGATTGTGCAAATATCTTAGTAAGAACTTTGTTTCCATGTTATGTTCAAAGCACCCTATAATTTATATACTTCATCAAGGCACAGTGGGAATTACACAGAAAAAGGGAAAAGGTTTCCTCCATCATTACAACATTCACTTAAGCATATGAAACTTTCATGTTTGCATCCCCTTTGGTATCGCCTTAAATTACTGTCTTAAATCAACTAAAGAATTCATTCTGTTTTATCCATGATCTTCCACATCTAGATAGGAAATTAACGGATACAAAGATGTCGGATCAAAGATAAAAGGACTCAGAACTGCCCACGGGAAATGCAGCTGACAGTTTCCGAGGAGCAACCACCCTTCTGCCTGCATCCCCCACATCCCGTGTCACAGCGGGGCCGACAGACGGCATGTGCACAAGGCCTCGGTCAGCGTACAAGTTTGAGGAACACACTGGAGATCTCCCACCAGGCGCCGCCTGCTGTCCCCAGGCAGGGATGGTGCAGTGCGGAGGTGGCGGCCCCGGGGCAGGAGGGCGAAGGGGGAAGGCCTGCAGTGCTGCCAGCAAAACGCCTCCCCAGACAGCCCGGCCTCCACAGCCCTGGAGGGCTTGAGGTCTGAAAAGTGTCAGACACTCCCTGCGCCTCTGGGGGTTTCTCCAGGTCTTCCTGGCAACATCCCCCTGTGCTTTCCCTGTGGGCCCACAGTGTGGGCACCGGGTGCCAGGCATCCCAACCCCAGAGGGTGGGTCAGCAGCACGGCCTCCAGGAAGGCACCACTGCCCATGTGCCGTTACCGAGGCCACGAAGACGTCTCCGATCATCTCCACGGAGTCCCACTCGGCCACGCGGCTGGCCAGCGCCATCTGGAAGAGGCAGTGGCACTGCAGGACCTCCTTGATGCGGTAGAACACCAGCCTGAGCTTCCTCTTGCTCAGCACCCGCGGCTCCATCTCCCACAGCGGCCTCTCGTATTGCTGACAAAGAAACAGGGAGACGGCACAGGCTGTCCTCAGGGAAGACAGAAGAGTACGCACAAATCAGGAAACTTCTGATGACAATCTCACATAATACCTGGATCTTGCAAATGAGCATTTTATGGTTCATTCACACATGAACATATATATGTAACCAGAGAATATACAGAGAAAAGACTAATATAATATGTACATAGCCCATAACATGACACCAGGTACCTCCAAAATCCTCTGCAGGGCATCTACATAGCTTTTCTCACTGTCCACGATGGAACCCAGGATGTATCTTCTCACGACCTGTGGGGAGTTTGGAAATACACAGGTAGGAAACATAACATAAAGCTTACCTCATTGCTGGTAAATAACAGATAAACTTTACTTTGTTACTAAGTTGAAAAATAAATGTCTTTTATTTTGAAAATAGTAGGTAAATGATCCAAAGGCCTCTAAAACATTTTCAGTGGTGCTCTGAGCTAACTAGCATTAGGCACAAAACACACTCCCCCTGCTACAATGTTCTTATTTTTTAAACCTCAAACTATATAGTGTAACTACCGAGAACAAGTCAAACTATAACAAGTAACACACTTTTAACCGCTACCGCCAGGGTCTCATGCTGAGTTACATGAGATTTCACATAAGATTTAAGAAACAGTTCCAGTCTGTTTAAGACTATTTAAAACTGTTTAAGAAACAGTTTAAAGGAAGCTACTAGCAACACTTACGTGGTAACAGTATCATCCCAGAGTTTCAGAGAAAAGCTTTGGAAAGGAGGCAGAATAGTTTTAATTACTGTTTGGCTTGGGGGTGGGGACGGCTGGGGGGAGACAAACACACCCACAAGGCTGACAACAGTGCATTTACACACTGACATAATTTTCTGGGTTTTTCTTTACAACTGGAGTTCGTGCAATACAAACTTCTGGCCCTAAGATGCCTATTACAGGCCAATGACAATTCTCGGCACTCTCGTCAAGGCTAAACATATTTTGGCAAGTCATTTTTGTCAATAAATGGAAAATGAAGAATAAAATTTCAGCAAGGGTGCCTCTAACCCACTCACACCCCTCTTCCAGGAGACCCCAGCAGAGGGACCACTGGTCACAAAGGCCACGATGCCACCTAGTGGGAAAAGACGGCATCTCCCACAGAGGACTTTCCTCCCATTAAATTCAGGGCAGCCAGGATTCCCAAGACATTGACAAGCATGTTCTCTTTGCAAACAGGACGCCTCAGTTCACAGAACTAAGACAAAAGGCAGCACCTCCAGGACACTCAAAGTGATGCAGTTTTTTCCTTAAAAAAGGCACAGATGTGCCTGGGATGAAAATACAAGCACAGAGGCCAGCCGTGTGGAGGCCCTGGCACCCTTGCCCAGGCTGACTCCCCAGACACAGACCCTTCATCCCAGAAAGCGACTGAGACCCCGAGGACCAGCCACTCCCTACACTGGCTAATGGTCAAATCTAGGCCATCCTTCTTCCCAAGATTCAGATTCTCAGACACTTCTTCCTGGGTCAGAATGTTTGGGGTCAAACCTAGGAGTTATGCATGTATTTTAAAGCCCTGAGATGACTCACATATCATGTCAAATGACCTGGAACTGGTGTAAGACAATTTAAAAATACAAAAATTAACTAAACACATCTTTATAGCCTCCGCCTGTCAGTTACATTCAACAAAAGGGCCAGCCTGCCTGGTGCAGGCTGGGGGCAGGAGGTTCCCGGTGGTCACCCCTTGAGAACCCCGGGGTCCAAGTGGCAGAGGACAGTGCAACCCGAAACAGTCTTTCCTGGCAAAGCTGAGCAAGCAGCCAGAAGGGCCGCCGAGCCCAGCAGATTCCTCTGCGGCAGGACCAGGACAGCCTCCAGGGTAGAACAGTGCCCCAGGGCAGATGCCAGGTGTGGGGTGGGGCGCCCGGCCCTTCAGCACCACAGGCGCTTCTCAAGCAACACAAGGAATATGGGGCTGCCTGCTTCTTCCCCCAGATGGGGCGGGAGGGAAATGCCTGACAGGCAGCATCTCTGGCTACAGCTATGGGGCCTTATTTCAACTTTGTAAGAAAGAATTACGGAGCTTTGATACCCCGGTTTCACCTTTGACAAGAAACCCACGGAGAACACACAGCTGCCCGTGGGAAAGGTGAGCCTTGTCAATCGCAGTGCTAAGGAAGAGAGAGCCAGGCGGGGGACACAGAAACCCTAAGTATGATACCTGTCTGCAGTCAGGGCCCAGCAGCCCCTCTGGGCTCTGACCACACATTGCCACAGGACATGAGCGCACGCAGGACCCCCAGTGCCCTGGGAAGTAACGTGGTGCACAAAGACATTGCCGCTCACTCACCCAGAGCCCCCCGCTGGCCCCAGCTGAGGGCTGGGGTTTGGAACCAGGCTTGCTGATACCTTCCCGGGGCTCTTTCCACATTACAGACCATACCTCGTGGTCACCACCCAGTCCCCTGTGGCCACAACAGACTGGCAGGTGTGTGCCCCTTAAGGCCCTCCAGACTGAAAGCACCTGTCCACTCTTGTATCTTAATGGGCCCCCAAAACCCCCTCACTGCCAAGTCTTGGCCTGGACAGCAAAGCCCCTCAGCCACCCTGCTTCCAGCCTACCACCCCTGCACCCACGGCCTCTCTCCTGTGCTGGCCACTTGCCTCAGAGGCTCTGCTATCACACCTCACCACCAGGATGCCAGCTCTGCAGAGAAGAGGTGCCACACCTTGGTCACACTGCCTCCCCAGGGATAAGCTGAGCCCGAACAGCAAAGGAACGGGTCCCCTTTAACTGCTGGAGACGGCAGGGCAGGGTCCCAGGGGACGCAGCAGCCAGGACTGGGGGCACCAGCTCGTGAGCAGCCACGTGGCCATTCAAGGAGCTTTCTGCCCGCAGAGCTGCCCTGCGCAGCTGGCCTCAGCTTACCTGCTGCTGGGACAAACCTTCTGGCATCGGGGTCAGGACAGCTTCTGGGTGCCTGCAGTCAACGTCGATAAACAAACTCTGCTCTTCCTCAAGACAGGATCTGTGGTCTTAAAAATAGTCAGGATGCACTAGTCGGCGTGGAAACAACATGCCGGGCGTCACAGCACAGCAGAGCTGGTGCTCGGGGTCTGTGCTCTATTCCCCTTGTCTCTTTACTGCCCAGGAATGACTCAGTGGAAATGTCGACAGACCCAGGAGGGAATCCTATGCACAGGGGAGCACAGCGCTTCTCGTATTTGGAATTCTCAACACTAGGAAGTCTGGAAAGGCAGGTGTCCTTTGAAGCCTGGACGGCAAAGCAGCAACAGGGTCTATTCATTCCTCATCAGCAGAGGGTTCGTAAGATCCCTTCTTAGCTTAAGTCTGCGGTCCTTGGGGATCCACAAACGCCTGGGAGACCTAATGCCCTGTGCCTGCAGCCCCTATCACTGCTCACTAAGAAGGCAGACCACGGGGCTTGGGGAGGGAGGACAGAGGAGGGGGCACCCAGGCTGGGGCGCCGAGCCACGTGCACAGGGGAGGGAAGCCATTAGCTGTAAGGGAGAAAACAATTCCTTTATTTTCTGCAGCTGCATGTGCGGCCCTGGAGAGCCCCACGGCCAGGTGTGAGCCTGCAGCAGGAAGGCAGGCTGTCCCGCTGCGGCAGGCCCAGGCCACCCGGACCCCCGTGAGTGGGTGACACCCACGGAGGGCCACCGCGCCCTGCCACCCCTGCCATGACAGACCCCACAGGGCACGGCCATCTGCGTGCACACCTGGGCACCGACCTGCAGACACAAAGGACTTGGTCCGAATGAAGGAGCGGCCCCTCTTCACAGCCGCCGAGGCCCGCTCGAGCCCGTCCTTGGTGCCCTCCTTTGCGGCCCTGACGAGCTTCTGCACCTGCCAAGACGGGGCAGGCATGAGGCACGGTCCCACACTGCGTGCCACTCCCGCTCTAAAGGCCACTATCAGGTCACTGGGCCCCACAGGGTCCCGATGGGGGAGGCCGTCCTCAGCTGCTGTGCATGCATGTGGTTACGGCTGTGGGGGATTCGGTTCTTAAAAGGGAAAAACACACTAAAACAGTCTTCCTGGGCCTGGGAAGGAGCCTCCAGTGGCACTTCATCAGTCCTTATTTCAGACCCAAGGAGCTTAGTACAGGGGGGGCAGACACTGCAGCCCACCTGCCTGGAAGCTGCCCCCAGCTTAGAGGGCAGGTCCCAGGAGGCAGTGCACCACCTCCCCCTCCCCACGCAGCCACTGACACTCCAGTGCAGGGCTGTGGGGGCCCCTCTGCCAGGCAGACCTCTGTCCTCCACAGAGGGTAAGGGTCAGAAACCCCTCTGTCCGCTGGCATGGAGCCAGTCTAGCCACTCACCCTGGCCTCTGGTGCTCGGAGCCCCCAGTGACCCTGTGATCCTTGACAATCCTTGTCCTCTGAGAAGCTGGTGCCTGAGAGGCTGACCACCAAGAACCAAGAGAAACCCAGATGGCCTCTCAGGGACAGACTGGTGTTCTTCCAGAGGGCCTCACCTCACCACCTGCTGGTGCCTCTCAGCGGCCTGGCCCTGGGAACACAGCCTGACTCAGACCCCCGGCGACTGCGAGCTTATCCCAGCCCTCGGGTGCTGCCCCAGGCTGCCCACCGGGACTGCCGCTCAGCAACGAGGACCAGTCTGCCCTGCCCCCCGCCAGGACGCGACACCGGTTCCCCAGGGCTGCAGCACCATTCCGCCTGGGCTGGCTCCACTGACTGCCGTCAGCCACCAGCACCCTGCCAGCGTGGCCTCTGGCCCCACTCTGCGCTTGTTAAGCACGGCCTCCGGAGCCCAAGCCTTGCCCAGGCTGCACAGCTGCTCATGGGTCTTCAGCCCGGGCCCGTTCAGGACCCTCCAATGAGCTTGGAGGACTGTGACCACACAGACCCACAGGGAGCCGGCCTGGCTGCAAAGCCCATCTCCCGGGGAAGCCAGAGCACTGGGGCCCCAGACGGGCGGGCCGAGCTCCTGCAGCCAGGCACCTGGCCCTGGATCCCGGCCCAACTACGCCTGCTGCTTCCCAGCATGTGCCCTTCGCCCGCTGCTCCTGCTGTCTGGCTGATCACAGCATCCCTGAGCTGGCCTCCTCCACACATCCTCCCCGATGGCCAAGCTCTGGGTGGCCCCATGCAGCCTGCTGCCTCAGGCTGCCAGCACCATGCCCTGCAAGGGAACCAGCCGGATGCCGAGCTTGGAATAACGATGGGACTCTTAGGGCCTTGCTGCTGCTCTGGAAAACCCGGAGCCCAGAACCCTCAGGAATAAAGCAGGGGACCATCACGGAAGACATTTCTAAGTGAACACTTAAGTGCCTTCGACCCATAAGAACAGATCGGAAAACCTCAGACTGCAGCCGCGGTACTTGACAGCCCTTTTAAAACACACCCCAAAGAGCCAGCCACAACTGTGCTCAAATCCAGCAGTTCTCAAACACTGTCATCTCAGGGGCCCTTTTCGCTGGGAAACATCCTCGGAACCCCAGAAGCCGTCTGCCTGGGTTTTACTGACCTACATTTACTGTATGAGGAGTCAACACTGAGAAAAATTTTGAATATGTTTACCAGTATTCACTGAAGAAAATAATAAACCTACTATGTGTTATCTTAGATAACATATTTACAAAAAATTGCATTTTGCAAAACAAAACAAAAATAGGTGGCATCTTGTGTTTTTGGAAATCTCTTTTGCGCCTGGCTTAGATGCAGCCGGACCCCCACCCAGTCGGCTGTGCTGCCACACGTGATGGAGCCTCTGAAGATCCCTCTGCAGGCCTGAGAGGGCGGTAGGAGGTGGTGGGTGATGGCTCAGCATGAACGTGCCCGAGCCCCCCTGGACCTCATTTGAGAACCGCTGTTCTGGTAGAAAGGCCACTTAGTGGCCTTTACTGTTTCTTTTTAAAGTCTGGTCTGTTCTGAATGAGCGTTCTCCGCGTAGCTGGGCAAAGTGAGACACTACCTTCCGGTCGTGTCTCTGCTTTAGCTGCTGAATCTCTACAGCTCCGGCCGCGCTTGCCACCAAGCCCTTCATCTTTTTCTCGTAGCGCTCCTTGAAACGGGCTAGGTCACGCGAGAGCTACAGCATAAAGAGACACAATCTTCTCACAAAAGCACTCCTTTTTGTTCTCTGGGACAGTCTTACATCGGAACCGCTCAGTGTCTGCGGCCCACACGCTGGGGGACCCAGAAGCAGCCCGCCAGCTCCACAGCTGAGCACACAGGGTGACGGCCACCGAGGACAGATGTGACCTTAGAGGGGCCAGGCCGGACACTTGGGGCAAATAAACACAAAAAGGAACCTGTGCACAATCACCGCTTTACATTGTGATGAAGTTGAAATGCCCAAATACATGAAGCATGTGTGAAATTATTCTCTGTGTTGGCAGCAGAGCAAAGGCCGCTGGAGCTCAAGGCTGAGTGGGGGGTGGCGCGGGCCGGAGGTGGGCAGCACGGGCTGTAAGTCTCACGTGGGCACAGCGGTCCCCCGCCTGTGTGGAGGGGGGGACCTGGTAAATCACTGTTTCCGTGGTCACAAGAGGCCCAGCTATGCACATGAAGACCAGAGACCCACTAGTGTTTCCCAGGTCACCTAAGATGGGGACACTTTTAGCAATTTTTGATAAAAATTTGAGACTTTTTTGAGGACTGTCCCACGACTTAAGGTGTTATTCTGGAGGCTTTTAAAGTACAACTTCTAAAACCAGAAACCGTGGGCCTTCCCACCCCGCAAACACCCAGGGTCCCATCCCCTCAGCACAGGGTGGTGCGGAGGGAGGCAGGCACGAGCTTGAGGCCTCGTGACTGCCCTGCACCCAGGAGCCGACTCCCGCCGGCCTTTCATCTGCTCCACGTCCCGGGAAAGGCCACTGCGCCAGCTGGCACGCTCACCGGGCTTTCCAGGCACTCTGTCTGGGAGTCTGCGTCCCCGGAGATGGAAGGGAGGCAGCCTCTGTTCAGGGACCAGGCTCACAGCTCACCGCGGACCACCGGAATGAGGCCGGTTCATGCTGTAACCGGACAGGCCCACAGAAACGCGACCAGGCAGCGCTCAGCCACCATCCCGGCACCCCTGGCACCCCTCCCACTGACTCGGGCCTCAGCACCCTCCTTTCACCACTGTAAGCCCAGCATCAGGCGCGGCCGTGGGGAGTCCCAGGACTGGGGCATGGCCCCTCAGCTTGGTCTCCGCTCCAACAGTCCTGGTGATGGCAGAGACCTGAGCTCCCGGGAAAAGCCTGTCATGACCCTGGCAGTCAGCCACCGACCACAAATGGGAAATTCTTCTTGATCTCATGAAGTGTACAGAATACAGGAACTCTAAGCAAGCCAGGAAAACTCACAGGCCACACATGCACGGAGGCCACAGCCCAAGACCAGCAGCGGGGCACTGGGTGCAGGTGGGGCGGGCTGAGCATTTCCGGGTCTGTCCTCATGCTGAGGTGTTAATGAGGTCACAGTCAGCATCAGTAAGGGTGTCGGGCTGGCAGGCTCCATCTGTGTGGCCTGCATCTTGGCCTCACACAGAAGGTGAATCACGTAGCCACAGCTGCAGACACAGGGCAAATCAACCCTTCTGCAAACAGCCAAGACCCAACAAGGGCGTGTGGCACAGCCAGCCGACACTGAGAACTGGAAACCTCATTGGCATGATTTGCCTCAACAAACAGCCCCTGGGTCCCACATCTGACAGCCACCTATGTGACAATCCATGCTTCTGGTCTCTGAGGTTTCTGCCTGGACCCTCATCTCAGGATGTCTCACACACTCCCCCGAGGATGGAAAGCCAAAGGCGGTGTAAAGCTGATGTCCTTCCACACCGTTCGGCAGCACATTCTACCTACAGATCTCCCTGTTCATGCAGAGAACGCTGAAGTTCAGAACACCCCTCAGAGGAAAGCAGGGTGTGCTGAGTGAGGTAGACCTCGTGCATAAGGCGCACAGTCACCATGCATAAACAAGCAATCAGGGAATAGTTGCTAACTCCCTTAGAACATTCAGGAGTGCGAGCTAGCTGAAGACTCAAGTGATTTCGTTCATAAAAGCACCCTTTCCCACCCCTCGCAGTCACGCCCACCATGAGCAGAAGGGTGCCTTCCCTTTGGCCAACATGTTATGCTTCCCTTGAACTATGTGCCAACATCTTAAGCCACAATTATATGAGTATTACATGAATGAAACTGTACTTTAGCACAAGATAGCCCCCCTTAACAGACCGACGGGACATACTTGCTTTTTATGGCTGCTGCGCAAGAAGGGCCTGGGGACCCCACCCCCGCACTCTGCGTCACTCTGTTCTTCATAGCTCTCGAACTCACTGGAGCTCCACCCGCACTCCAACGAGCTGTTTCCGCCCTCTTCTCCGTTCTCCACGTCGTCATAGATCATTTCATCTGAATGCACGAATGCCAATATGAAATTAAAACACAGGACTCACTAGCTGTGTGTCGTGCATGTTTGCCATTTGACCGTGTCATCGAGAGCTGGGGGCTGCGGGCACAAGGCATGCTGGGAGGAGCACCGGGTGCCCCGGCCGCCGGGCAAAGCCTCCGAGTTTGGGCAGAGCCATGCGAGGCCGAAGAGTTCTTACAAGCCCCCAGCCCCACCCACATCATGAGGACCACGGGTCTGTGAGATCCACCACAATCATACCAGACAATCCGTCGGCCACAGAGAACTTTGAGGAAGGAGAATTTCTCTTTAGATAAATGTGATATGAATAGATCAGACAGACGGATGAATAGGTGGACAGACAGATGAAACAGATATTCCAATACGAATACAAGTAAAGCTCAATGTAAACAACTGTGCATTTTGCTTTTGGGCTAAAAACAGCTTAATAAAAGTTATAATCAATTAGTGTATCTAAATGGCTTCATCACATTAGCCATTTCATAATTAGGGAAGAACACGTTTGTTTATGCCACTAAATACAGTGACAAAGGATCTGCAATTTCCGAGTCATTAGTTCCTGGTCCGTGTTCTCTAACAGGGAAGTAAATGGGGCTCACAGGCACTCCCCTGGCACGCAAAGGACAACGCTAAAACAGGTTAATGTTCTTTTTTCCAAATACATTCAAAGGCCTCCCATCCAGGAGGAGTAATCTGTGATATGCCCTGACTGATGTAAGAACATATGGTAAAGCAAGAAAATACAGATGGATTTTCTATTTTCAATGCTGAGTTGCCGGCAATAAGACTTTTAGAAAATGAAAATGTCATTCTTTAAGCTCCTAAAATATTAGTGTCAGATTTCTATTATTTATTGAACTTGTGAGCATAAGCTGTTCATCTTAGCTGGAGTTTCTCGGGGGTCAATGAGTTGCTAAGAATTTCTGCTTAAACGTTCACTGAAAGGGCTGTGTGGGTAAAGATGCACTTTGGTCCACAGATACATCTTGTTTCTCTGTTAAGTTCATTCCATACACAACCTCAGCTGCTCACTGTAACAACACTGAGCCTTAAACATCTTAAATAATTAAGAATTGATCAAATATATTGTTTAGGAAAAAGAGCGAGCTTTGTATGTTTAAGATGATTTAAGGCAAACATTTGCTTTTGCTGGAAATGAGAAATTAGATGAGAACCTGTTGCTTTTAAAATACCTAATATTTAAAATTACCCTTGTACATCTCCACTGAATTCAGATTAATCCTTATAAAACAAGTTCTCCAAACGTTTGGCTAAATGCTCTGAAAAGAAAATGCTGTCTGGGTAAAACTGTGAAATGCTGGGAAATGAGCTCCCTCCCAGAAGCTGTGGGGTCCCGTCCAGTGTGCCACCAGGAGCCCACCACCACCACCTTGGCCATGGGATCCGGCCTGGCTTGGTGAGCAGGGGGCAGACCCGGCAGCAGCCCAGGGGTCAGGGCCAAGCTCCGTCCTGCTGACTCGGCCTGGTGTCCCGGGAGACCCTGGTGGCTCCACGCGGCTTGTAGTTCAGAAGGGCACCCTACATGCTGCCACATGCCCCCGGCAGGCTTCACAGGCCCCACGGCTGGCTACCAGACCAACCACCTCCCCGCTCTGGGGACCCCTCTGTGCCCGGGCCCCTGCCGCTCCCACAGACCGAGGTGGTGCTCCACTCCCACGTCACTCAATCCCGGGCCAGCCCGCGGGCACCACACAGCAGGCTGCCAATGCTCAGCACGGCGGCCTGGCAGGTTCTCAGGAACACAGCAAGGGGACGGCAGGTGTGTGAACCCCAGTCTGGGGTGTGTCTGTTGGGGGAAGAAGGGCCAGAACCCCCTCCACACACCCACGTGCCTTTACCCAGAACATGTGACAACAGACCTTCTCATGTCTTGGGGGGCACTGCTGTTCAGGCCCCACAGGAAGCGTGACACGAGGACTGGGAGGCAGTGTGATAGCTGCTGCAGACGGCCAGTGACTGCCTGCACCGGTATCAGGTGCTGTCTCCCTCTGCTCGCGCCCCCACTCAGGTCCCCCCAAGGCCAGTGCGAGGGCACAAGGGACCCCCTCCTTCTAGGCCGCAGCCCTGCAGCCCACCCTCAGCCACGACAGACCCGAACGCAGCACCACATGGTGGAGCCCGCACAAAAGGCCATCCGACCACATGCTCTGAAATGGGCAGGATGGTCAATTTTACTCAACGTGCACCTTACCACAATAACAAAATGGGAAAAGGGACACAGGTGCACAGAGCAATATTCACCCCATGGTATCAATGAGACGCTGTGAGCCACGAATATACCCCAGGCCGTGCGTGCAGGGCCTTCTGACATGCAGAGGGAACGTGGCTGACAGCCTCCTAAACTCGACAGCAGGTGAAATCCAACCTGGTTCGGAGTCTGAATTTTCTTTTGGCACATCGTCATAAATGGCTTCCTCGGGATCTGGAATGAGAGGGGGGAACTTTAAGAACCGAGCAGGACCAGCAGAACGCCTTTCCGCCCACAGGCCCCAGCCCCCCAGGACTCGCAGGGGCAGCTGGTGAGGGTGGACCGTGGTGCCCCCCCAGAGCAGAGGCCTTATTTCTATCACAGGACATTTCCTCGGAAGTGAAGGTCAGCAGGCCACCTGTGAAATACGTCCGACAGGGCATCTCACTGTCCCCAGGCCCGTCAGTGCCTTAGTCTGTGTTCAGCTACGGAGCTCTGCACGGCTCTTTCAGAAAGGTTTTTAGGCATTTAAGTTAATATGTTCCGATATGAAAAAATTAGAGAGGTGCGTACAGAGTCTCAGAACTAAAGGGGCAGCTCCACTGGTGAGCTGGTAAAGTGAGCCGATGACTATGTGGTTTGTGCCACTGGACGTGCAAGTGGGTGCCCACAAGTGTAAAAATGCTGACTTTTCAGGACGACGTCTCCCAGACTATATAATGTGGAACCTGTGTCCTATGTACCTGTACCAAGTGTCCTTACAAACGAAGTGGGGGTCCTCCACGGGGAAAGACCCTGGGGAACATACACTGTACTAGGCGGGCATCAGGGGACCGGCAGGGAAACTCGACGTTCATTTAAGCATTTGGAAGAGCTGATGGCTCGTCTACGGAAGTACAGTGTCTTTCCATACTGAAAACCAGAGGCCACTGGTTACTCGGCGACACAGTGAGAGATGCGTGAACACAGCTGGACTCTTCCGACCCGGGCCACTGTGCCCGGTTCCCGTGTGCAGGGCAAGTGTGGGGAGAGCCCTCAC